GGTGATTGAACAGCCAGCTGGGGGCGGGTCCTCTCCGAAGACACATGTACCAGCGGAGATCGATTCGGCCGTCGTAGTGTATTGAGTGCTCTCTGTTCCGTAGCATAGGATCTACGAGCGGCACCCGCCAACGTCGTAGGCCGAAGGCCCCGAGGCGCCCGCAGCGCGCTCGGGAAGCACTCCGCGCATAGCTTTGCCGATGGGCGGCTCATTGGCGTCCTTTTTTTTGGAGGTTATATGTGTTGCGACGGTGGACTCGACGTCGGGTTTAGTTGGCGGAGAGCGGTTGCAATGCGAAGGCGTTAACCGAGGTATTGTATTGGGGGCAAGGATTTGTTTTTCCTCCGGAAAGCCTTCGGGGTGGTGGCGGGTAGGGTCCGGGCTATAGATAGCGATTTACAACAGACACACAATATATATACAGCCCCTGCAACTCTTGAACTAATTATCAGAAGGTCTAGTGGGAAACCGATAGATTCCGATCCTAGTGTCGGAAAAAGTACCTATGACAGAATCACGTGACTCTATATTATGGCATGGCACGAATTTTTCTAAACTGTAGTTTATCAAGACTTATATTTGGTACAGAAAGAGCCCGTGAGACACCACGGTTGAGCCATTATCATGAGAAGAGGCCGCCCCGGTATATGCACGAGAAGTAAAAGAAAAAAATATGTACACAACACAGAAGCAGGCAGACCGGGGTATGATCCAGAATAGGATGAGATGTAGATCTGATGCGAAATCGAGGCAGAAATGAAAACGAGAAAGCACATAATGCGACATCGCAGGAACAAAAAAATCAAGAAAAATCAAGAAAAAAAGAAAACAGGCAGATAGAAAGGAAACCATGCCGTACATCTCGCATCAGATTCGTTAAACCGCGATCTCGTCCTCATGGACCATGCGAAATCGCTCAAAGAACTGATGACCAGTTTGAAAAAGAAGAAATCAAATCAGAGAATAACCATGCATCTTTCAAAACTCCAATGCACCAACCTTACTCGTGGCAAACATTAAGATGAGGCTGACAATAACCTCATCGACGAAATCATGGGCAAGTCTATCGTTGACCGCAACACCGGGAAAGAAACAAGTGCTTTTTATGCGATGCTGACGAAGAGAGTCAGCTTGGTGTTCCGCTGCATGGCGTTCTCCAGATCCTGATCGGTATAGAGATCGATATAGGAGCCAGAGGATTCGTCACGGTACTGCACAACGATCTCGTCCTGGATCTTCAACCGGTCGCATAGCTTGTCCTTGAGGTGCTGCATGCTCACGCCAGATGGGATGCGGATCGCAATAAGGTCATCCTGGAAGAACACCTTGACCTTCATCGCGCTGTTGGCCGATGCGCCAGAAGCCTGGGTGATGGAGCTAGGTTGGCGGTTCATTGGCGGCGGGCCGCCATTGGCGTAGGTCGTGGGTGCTGGGGCACGCTGTTGGGATACCCGGTCGGTGGACGCATTGATTTGCTGCTGCGAAGACTGGCGCGACACGGTTTGTTGGGGGTCCACGCCGCCGGAGTGCTGGGATCCACCCGAGAACCGGGCGTCCTCGCCGAACGCATTGGGGTCGATCTCAAAGTCTCCTTCTCGTGGAGAGAAGAGCTCGCGCACAAGCTGACAACGCGAAATATGCGGGGGCATAGACAGAAGCTTCTTAATGTATTCGTCCAGATTCTGGCGCCGTCCGTTGGAAATCGCGTCCGTGACGTGGGTGACAGGGCCGGGCATGAAAGGGAGGGTTCGTCCACGGCCACGGTTGCCAGCTTCGTCTTCGAATTGAGTCAAAAGGGCGATCTGGAAGTCGTAGAAATCGTGGTAGTAACGCGACAGCTCCCAACAGCGACCATCTTCCATCTTCGCCTCGATGATGTACCAATACTTGTCGTTATCGAAACAGTAGCGCGGAATATAGGCGGAAACGGGGACGAGTAGTTGGTGGCCCTGCTGTTGTGACACAGGCACTTGTGACAAAGTTCCCTTGCTGGCATTACGTTGGTGGTCCTGCTTAAGCGCATCGACGGTTAGTAAATTGACTCGCAAATGGGAGTCAGATATTTCGCCTACATAAACATTGCCATTTTGACTCATTTGACTCTGGTGGCCCATGGACATCTTTTCCATGCCCGAGGTGACAGCCATCATATTGCCACCGCCATGACCCTCGATTTTGCCCAGTGTGATACTGCTGTTCTTGTATTCCGCCGTCATTTTCTTCCACTCCTCAACCTTGGGAACACCGGCGCGTCGCACCGCGTCAAGCGGGTCGGTGACGGCCTGCCCGCTCTGCATATCACGCAATTCGATGAAAGAAACGGGGATCAGGCCTGGGCCACCGAGACGACCGATAGGTTTTGCGACGAACCACTCGGGGTTAGATTGGGCGATGACGATAATGGCCTCGCCAGCCTTCGCGTCCAATTCATCGGGTCGCTCCGCTTGAAAATCGTACTGGACAATTCCATAGACCATGGCGCCTTGACCCTTGAGTGCAGACATTCTGAATGCGCCGTTCTTGGTGGAAGAATCTGGATGGGAAAGACCGCGGTCGGAGAATCCTGAGTCGTGGTGTTTGGACAATTCGCCGGAACCCCCACTATCCCTCTCGTTTTTGCCGATAACCTCAAAAAAGGAGACGGGCACAAGCCCCCCTAGCACTAGGGATCAGCGGATTGCACGCTTCGTACCAATCCGAATCGTCCTCCCTGCTGATAACGTGAAAGAAATCTCCCTTGCTGAATGCCAATTCCTGCGAGGTCCCCGGCTCCGGTTGGTAGTCGTAAAGCGCCTTGATTACCTTTGGGAAATGCGGTCAGCCACTGCCAAGAACAAGTCGGGAGTGGGACAAGGAGGGGCGAGGGGTTAAAAGGCGAATTCAACACAACTGGCGAATTTGCACCAACTCACTTTTTTCGGGGTAGAATCGCAATAGCGGACTTGGGTGTAATAGAGATATGATGGTGTTTGGGATCTTTCTCCCCTTCAAGGATCGCCTAAAGGCCTATTTTTTTTTCGAAACCGGATTAATTAACACGATACTAGGTAATACTTCGGAAACGAAAGAAACTCACCTTCATGGTAGAAGATTTAAAAGAAGGATTCAAGGAGAGATGCAAAGAGGAGGAAAGGAGGAGCAGCCTCTTTTTAGTCAAATGTATGTATACCTTGACCAGCGTAATCCGTATTGCGGTTCCAACCACGCGGCTTGGATGATTGCCAGGGGCCCGCTTTTTGCGTTTTTGCTTTATGATCTTTAGATGTTCTTGTGTTGATGTGGATAATAATTTGTATTCCAGACATTCCAGGCACATCTATATATCTATACGGAGTACTACATATGTGGTCTTTGATCTTTATATCAAGGACAATGAACCTTTTAAAGATCGTATGGTCATTCCAATACAGGATGACGCCAGCCTTCAAGGTTGCTATGTATTTCTGAACCTTGGAACCTTTCAAGGTCGAGCCTCGGTTTACACTTTTATGTACTTCGATAAAAACCCCAGCCCTGATGTCTTCAGGTTAGTCAAAGGGCTCTGGAACAATAAATCCTATAAAAAAAAAAGGCGTATTCCAATACGCCTTCCAACTCTACATTTGCCATCTAGAGATCCATCTTGTCTAGATTACAAGTCGTATTGATTTGCCGCCGTTGGGCAGACAAATGATAATCCACCGCCGGCAGCTAGTGTAACGGAATCACACCCTACCAGACTAAATGCGACTCTGTCCGAGTCTCTCCATTTTACCATTTCCCATACCTTGGCATATCTTATAGACTTACGAGTAGATACATACATTATTGCACATACCTACATATGTAGGTAGTACAGGTACAGACTAGAAAAGGTACACAGAACGAAAAAAAAGAAGAAAAAGAAGGATCTTTGCCCCTCATTTCCCCACTTGTAACCATGGTTCAACTATACTTAAACCGCGGATGCTGACGTCCACGGGTCCTCTCAAAGCCAGGTCTTTCTATTTTAGTGATTTTTAGGAAATTCTAATAATTTAGGATACGTACAAAGAAAATGGATATGAAAGATGTATCAAAAACAAAGGGTCCAGAATACGGCCAATCGGATGAAAACAATTTCTCCGTTAATATTTCTTTTTGAAAAATATATCTCCCTAAATTAAAATTCTGGGGCTGACCAGGAATGCGCGGCTCCTGCAATCTGCCGACTGTATGCAGAGGAATTTTCATCTCGAATATTACCTAGGTAGATACAAGGATCAAAAGTTAAAAAATAATAACAAAGACACTGGCAAGCTGAAGAAACTTTGTTTAATGTCGATCATCGGCCACATTTGCATCAATGTTGCCTACGAGTACTCCCGTACCTACATACCTATAGATAGGGCATGAATTGTGCTCCAGGGCTGCTTGGCACGTCCCCGCATAAGGGTCTCGACCAAAGTTGACTCGCCTCACATTGATACATATATCTCGCTTCCTGGTTCGACCCAGCGTTGGCCCTAGTTACCATGTGGCGACTATGTATTCGAACGTTACCGAAATTGGAGGCGAGCGAGTCAAGACAGAACTCTGTATATGGGATAAGTACTGGATAGATTGGATGTTGTAGGTATTTACTATGCCAATATGCAATCACCCCTCTCCATCAGATCGAGTCAAAGAGCACATGCCTCATGCTCTGGTGCTCCAAAAAACTCCATCAACTCCAGAATCAGACGCCGCCGGGGATGTTAGTATAGTCGTAAGTCCGCTGGCAACCCTGTAAAAAGAAATCCGGAGGATGATGCCGACGAGAATGAGCAGGAAAAGGCGAAGCAGGGAAAAAAAAAAAGGCAAGAACACTCAAAAGGCTAAGTCATATCCATGTGTGGATGTACGTGATGAACGCCTGCCGCTTTTGAAAATACGCCAAAAAAAGAAAAGGGGAAAAAAAAGAATAAGGAAATGGCCTTGACTGAGATCCGATGGTTTACGATCCTTGGCGTAAAAAAAGAGATGGACAAGTGAGGACATGGTTAGATCTGGCCTTTGATATCGACGACACGGTGGGCGGCTGCTTTGGCTTGATCGAACAGCGAGCCTGCTTTGCCTGTCAACAGCCTTACGGCGCCGTTCCTCTCCTCCAGCAGTTCTTCGGAGGAGTTGTCCAGAACAAAACGTGCGGTCTGCTCATCGGACTCGAATCCAAGCTCTTCTGTGATAAATCGGATGTTGACATCCGGTTTGTATCTACAATAAAATGTCAGCTAGAATGCTAAAACAGAACTTAGGAATCAGAAGACTCACGCTCTACACATGGTTGCAAGAGCACTCAACCGCTCACGATCGACAAACATGTCCATGAGGTAGGCCCCCATATTCGGCGTATCAAGGTACAGCTGGAAGAAACGATGGTAGTTCCCGAGTGCAAGGGCAGAGCGCACATTCAGGGCATGCTTGACCGCCAGGTCTTTCTTATCTTCTGCAGTCACATCGGCTAGTGCGTCGTTCATCGCCGTCCAATTCCGCGTGTATATGAAATAGAGAATACGATAGGCCTTGAATTCTGTCGGGTGTCCTCCCAGCTGCTGCGCATACAGCACTCGTAGCTGGGTTTGACACTGGTTGTACTCACCAAGATCCCCTTTTTCCAAGGCGATGCGCGCGTGGATTTCGTAGACAACGACAGTGAATTCATTTCGGATGCGCTGGACCGTTAGGTCTTGACGCAAAGACTTGAACTGATCACAGATGTAACCATAGTTGCCATCCTGCTTCCATTTCCTCTTCAATAGATCCAGGGCCTTTTGCAAAACAGGCAAAGGACGAACACTGTCCGGGTTGGGAGCAGAGGTCAATCGGAAGTAGTTCTTCTCCAATGTTTGGCATCGTCCGACAACGGGGCCTTGATCCGCGTCGGCAGCACGCATTGGCGATCCTGCAGGAGAAGAGGGAGAGTTTCCGCTGCCCCCTACTCCCTCAAAACGCTTCCTCCTCATCTCCAAATTAGCTTTGGACTTACTAGACTGGTCCAGTGTTATGCGTGGTTTTTTCTCTGTGGTAGGGGTGAGTAACTCGATCTTCAAAACGATTTCGGTTAGCTTTTCTCCATGGTGGCGATCCAGTGTCCGAATGATGGCCATCAGTTGACTTTCGCTTCCGCGTGGCATCCCCCGGAGAAGCTGGGTGACTGGACGCCCAGTTTGACGAGCTGGGGTTGGCCAGGATTTTGTTGCGTTCATTTTGCACCATAGTTTGGGGCAAAGGTAGCCTTTCCCAGTCGATCAATCCCAACTTGTTATTCTGCGCCGCTTCCGTAATGACGTGCCTCAGCTTCTCCTGCATTTCAGGAATGCTCACGCTTGCAACCTGGTTTTCGGGGGCAAAGCAGCGTTGCACATACGAGCGTACGGGTGGTGGGAACTCCACTCGCGCCCGACCTTCTGTATCCGGTGATGCCGACTGGGTGGGCTGAGAAGGAACCGTTCCATTCGTTGGCTTGGTATGATGAGCGAGGCTACGACGCGCTTGGACTGGAGTGTATGCTGGGGCCGCTAGCAGGTTGTTAGTCTCTTGACACGAGACCGAGACTCGGGTGGAATTGTTTTTCTTACCAGCTGGAGGAAATGCACTAGACATTGCGGCTGGGGCGGTAGAACGCCAAGGTGGTACACTGGAACTCATCGTAGATGCAAGACTTGGGAACAACAAAGAAACAAGATGAAAGGAAGTAAAGAGCTACGAAGGGGCAAGACTCGAGAAACGGCTGGAAGAACCAAGTTTTGTTCTTACACCTCAGCTGGTACTGGTTTTGAGATGAGAGAAAAGATGGTGAACGTTTATTTCCAAGATGAGATGGTCACGAGCCGGGGGAGGGTGAGAGTGAAGTCCACACAGACTCGACCCGTGACGGTGAGTGATACTCGCTTACTCACCGGAATTTTGTTTGTCCGCGCATCCCGCCTTATCGGGTTATCGCAATTATTGCCTTGGCTTAAATGACATGCCTCTCTCTCTTTATGGATCCCGTTGATGTTGGGAGCTGGTTGAACCTACTAGATGTTCTTCAAGTCGCTGGATCTGACTACTGCGCTCAGACCCTTGCTGTTACCCGATGAGATCCTTCTCTTTGTGCAGGATGCGGTGGGGTTATATGAAGGGTAAGTAGCTCATGATGATGCTCCTGATGCGGGGTGCTGATTAGAGGCAAAGGAAATACAAAATCCAGAATTACCAAAATGGCCATGCCTATCTCACATCCCACAGAGTGTGCTATGTTGCGGCTGAGGACCCACGGAAATACTCAGTGGCTATTGATCTGAAAGAAATCGATCGAGTAGAGTCTCAGGTGCGACATGCATACATCTTGCTTTTGAGGCTTTTACTCTCGGCCAATCACTAACAAACCCACGGATTCAAGGCTGGCTTCCTGAAGTCATCTCCGAAGCTCACCATATACCCGAAACCGCAGAAGAAGAAGACGGATAAGTCGAGGAGTGCAACAGCCAGCCCAGCTGTGGCCCAACAATCGGTCCTTCCGCAGTCACTTTCCCACATCCCACAAACCAACTTCCAACATAACTCACTATCTCCAAAGCCAATCAATGCCACTTGGATTTGTCCCATATGCTCATTCTCCAACCCAGTTCCGTCCAATTTCGACCCCGCAACGGCTAATGCGGCTACAAATTTACCTCCTTGTCTAGCATGTGGCATCAAACCACCATTTACCGCCGTTCTCAAAGCAGCGATCAGTGCTGTAGCAAGCCGGGAGTCTCCATTGCTGAGTTCAGTTGCATCACCAGCCATTGCACAAGATACAGACCAATCAAATGCCAATGCGTCTCTATCGCATTTTGGGTCCGGGGAACTGTCCCTTGCCCACGATGTACCTTTGTGAACCACCCATCTCTCGTGGAATGCGAGATTTGTGGAGCGCCTTTATCTGCTGGCTCAGCGAGCGCCAATCGTGTAGACTCTCCTGCGCCGTTATTTGAGCAGTCGCACATCGCGAACACGGAAGTTAGTGAGAGTATCAAACTGTCGTTTCGTGCCGGTGGCGATAAGACGTTCCATGAAAGGCTTAGAGGAGCCTTGGTTCAAAGAAAATGGCTCTTGCAAAATGCGCCCCCAGTGCCTTCGCCGTCGCAAGGCACCTCCTCGGGGGGCCTGCCTTCTCCTGTCGCTAGCGTTGAAAGTACTCTACCCTCAGCACCACGACATTCGGGGGTTGGTATCGCGGGGTTAGAACGCCGAGGGCTGGAAGCCCGGAAGAAAACGAGCTGGTCATAGGGAACGCGTTCGAAGATCTGGAGGCTTTAATGGCCTCTGCCAAGCAGATCGTTGCGCTGGCTGAGACTCTCGCGCGTGAGTCTGGGATGACTACTAATGAAAGCTCTCCAGAAACCAGCGCGGTGCTGTCTGAGTCTGCTGCGGCTCTCGGGATGGTGACGACCAAAGATATGCTCAATTCCGGATCTGAAAGTCTATATTTATCAGAACTTGCGCGTGACTTGGCCGAGTATCTCACTGATGACCGAAAAGGCATTTTGCAGCGTGAAGGTGGAATTATGAGTCTAATTGATCTCTGGGCTGTCTTCAATCGGTCCCGTAATGGAGTAGAATTGGCCAGTCCTTCGGATTTTCAGAAAGCAGCGGAGCTGTGGGAAAAGCTCAAATTGCCAGTTCGTCTACGACGATTCAAAAGTGGCCTTCTTGTGGTGCAGCGATATGACTGGAACGACGAGAAGACTATTGAAAAAATTCAGGCCTGGATGGAGGAGCTCCAGCGAATTCCCCCCCCGATGACCCTGTTCCCTGGGATTGGTCCCTCTTCGGCCGGGCCGTTACTGCACAAGAAGCTGCGCATCGGTTCAAATGGAGCGTCGGGGTGGCTGCCGAAGAGCTGGAGATGGCTGAAGATCGGGGGGGTTCTCTGTCGAGAAGAAGGAATTGAGGGTCTCCGCTTTTGGCGCAATTATATCTCGTCCAGTGGATACGGGGATCTCTCCCGCCTTGCTATTTGAGGTGGTGTGATGCCATAGCAATGTACATACCGAGTTGCACACATCCGACAAGAGGGGGCTGTGATCCTGCCCATGCCGAGCATACTAAAATGATGCATGGAAGGAACATATTTGGGGTCAGAGCATGAGGCTGAAGCCCTTTTGCTACCCCCCACTATGAACGTGATCCTAGCTAAGCACCCTGTATACATGTGTGGGATGCACCGATATCAAAGCATATTGTCAAGAGCCATAGATGCCCAAGTGAATGCTGTCACTGCACACTAGATTTATGTCGCCAATGCATGCATCTATCTACTCTTGGTGGTCCGATGATACCCCACAGCACTGAATGACACATTGCCTGTCCTTTACGAGAAACAGAAACATTGGAGAAGCAAATCCATCAAATAGATATCAAGGCCCCAGATCCTAGATCAGATAGAGTTCATTCATGAACCTATTCCAGTATGTCCTACGATTGTCAATTTAGTATTTCCGATCTATGTATGCACGGTGTTTACGTATAGCTCCGAGTAATGATCTACATCACTTTTCCCCTAAAGGAGCTCCGCAAAAAGAAGTTCCGCCCGATCGATTGGACAGAGCAATGCGAGATAGCGTTCAGGGAGTTGAAGAAGGTGCTTGTCAGTGCACCTGTGCTCATTCAACCGGCTCGAGCGAAGCCCTAGGACGAAGCCGATGGCCCACTCGACAAGCTCGGTCTCGGGGGTATTGGGAACACTAGGACAAAGCAACTATGCCGCTGGAAACACCTACTTGGATGGTTTTGCGCAGCACCGTCACTCTCACCGGCAGAAGGCAGTGTCGATTGTCCTTCCAATGGTCCTAGGAGTTGGAGTGGTCGCGGAGAACAACGAGCTCGGGGAGTCGTTCAGACGCCAGGATGTATGGAATTGACGAAGAAGCTCTCCTCCGCGCCTTTGAGATCGCGATCATTGAACAATTTCGGGTAGGCATTCCAGACCATATTATTGCTAGACTGGATCCAATAGAGCTCGCCAAAGCAGCACAAGAAGCAGGTGAAGATGTCGACAGTTTTTGGGCCTTGGATGTGCGATTCAAGTACACTGTTTGGGCTATGAAGTCCCGTAATGAGAATGTGTCTGTTAGAGATGGTAGTCAGAGTATTTTGTCTTCGTTGCTGGGTTTGGAAGTCATCGAGGCAGCTCAGGCTGTGCGTGACCACTTTATTGCGAAGCTTGCCCGTATGTTGATGCTCATCATGGATGAGTTTGAGGAAGACAATCGGTCTATTTCCAGTTATGGGGTTGATAGTATGATTGGGACTGAGTCGCGGAATTGGATCTTCAAGGAGCTGGGTTTGGATATCTCTTTCCAGCAGCTGTTGGATCCAAGTTTGACAATCGCCAAGTTTGCAGAACATCTTGTGCAGTGGGATTATAATGGTGATATAGTGTGATTTTGTGCATAAGCAAAGAGAAAAGGAAGACAAACCTCAGTACTAGGGACCCAACAGCAGGTGGCCTAGTGGTAACATGTCACATGTGTACCACGAGGGAAGTGCCTAAGATCTTCCACTACCTGGACTGTTCCGGTTCGACTCCGGTCGTTCTCGCCTTCGTCTCTTTTTTCCCCTTTTTCTTTTTCTTTGACCTGGACAATCCTTGTCGTTTCCAGACTATTCTCTTTCGCTGTAGCATCTGCAGATACCATTATATAAGCACATTTTTGGCTTATATTTCCCAATATCATACACACCTTCAACTCTCCAGCATTGAGACGTCCTTTTTGCTGCTTATATTGCTTACGAGCCCTGGGGTAACTCCAGGCAACAGCGCGTCTGACATTGAAGCCAAAACCCAAACCCAAATGTCAAACCTGGGCTTGAAAGCAGTGAGGTAACTAACCGTGAATACTCACTTGTGCTTTTAGCTAGTTATCCTGATACTAAGTCACTGTATAGTAGCGGAGCGTGAAGTTCTACCACAACATTGAACAACAACTTACAGCCAATAATTGCGTTGAATATGACCTGGCAGTCAAAACAATCAATGGCCTCAGTGGTGCGGTCAACTGGGCAGTTGGATATGGGATTCTCCAAGTTTATAGTATGCAAGATGCGGAGTAACAGCCCTGGAGATAATGATACTCGGCCAGTACATCGGAAATGTCGCCCCCGAAGGTCAAGTGTGTCGTCGCTGTAAGATTTCTCAAGATATCCGTAGATATCCGCTCTTCTGGCAGATGTTGTGGTCTTGGACGGAGCAAATATGAACTGTCATTTGGTCAAGGTATTCCGCAAGTCCCCTTTGGCACGACCATGATTACTGGCCACGATATGTTGCTCCAGCCGGACTCTGGGAATACAACCCTCCTGTGCCACTGCTTCTATTCTATACTGCTGGTTTTAGGAAGCAGCTATTATCCAAACTACTGGGCGAAAGTTGGTTGGGCTCTAACTGTGTTGTTCAACTGCCCAGAACAATAACCACAACACTTCGAGACCCTTGATATAGTGGTACTTGTTTATTCTCTTGTTTTCTCAGTCTCCGTATAATATGCATATTGTTGGGCTCTTCGCGGCTTATATTGTACGTGTACGTTATGACGAGAAGTCCTGCTCCTATCTGGCGAGGACCCTTCCGGGAGAACTGAAAAGCAGAACAAATTCCAACGAGCTTTTGGTCGAGGAATACGGGCCTAAACTCGGACACCGCAACAGGCTCTCATATAGAATTAAACTACAGTTTCTATTCATTATCTCATCAAAGAATCGTATTTAATGTTAGTCTTGATTCCATACCTGGATCTAGTTAAAAGGAGCCCTATATCCCGCAAGACAAAAGGGACAATAGCAGGGAGGATACATGGGTTTGCATGGAAGAGGGGGAGGCCCATCAAACCTGCGTCCAATTTCCCTTTCTAGGAATCAAATGCTAATTACTAACTTGCAGTAACCGCAAAATGGAAGCCGGTAGCTGCCACCGGTACAGCCTACTCTCGACGACGTCGATCTGACTCAAACACAGTGAACCCATCAATTCCCCGCCCGTCGTTTCCGCCAGTGCGGAAGAACTCGACTATTACTCCGATAGCATAGCACGTCGATGCAGTAGCTGTGCCTGCAATAAGCATTCTGCGGCCTACTTTGCGAAACGAAGAGTCCGGTTTTGTGGTTGGTTCGCGCTCTGATCTAGAGGATCCAGTTGCTGAAGGAGGCTAACTCGACTTGTTAGGAAGCCACCTGAATAGACAGTTCTACTGCCTGCTCACCTCAGTGGTGGATTGCCGGGGAGCTCCAGCGTATGTGGCGGTGGAGTCCATTGAGTCGTGGCGAAGACGTTTGGCAACTTCTGCGTGAATTGCTGGCTCTTGGTCGGCTGCAGTATTTGAGAGAGTGTGACGAGGGGGGGTTAGAGTCTTCCGGAAGACAAGGATGTTGCCACCGCCGGTTGCAATTTCGTAACCATCTTCTTGCATCTTCTCGAAATAGGGCAGGAATTTGGCAGGGTTGTGCAGTCGAGACAAAATTTCACTTGGCCGACCATCTTCATCGACACCGAAGAATGAGTCTGCTTGTGTGGCTGAGACTTGTGACGTCGACGCGTCGAAAGCGAGAATACGGAATTTAGGGGAAGGATTCTGGGATGCTGCTCGTTGCTCTCCTTTGGCAGTGGCGAGGTTCTGGCTTTTGAGAATGAAATCTCCAACGCGGTCTTCGGAAGCATCGAAATCTAGCGGATTGGGTTGCACCTTTGGTTCCAAAGAAGCATAACGAGAGCGAATTTCAGTAGCATCCAAGGCGCTCATGTCCTCATTCTCATCAGGACCCTCGGCACTCGCCATCTCAGAACCGAAATTTGCCTCTAACTCATTCCCTGGTGTACAACCGACAACATTCTTGGCTATCTTGGATGTATCAAGGCCAGTGTGTACTTCTGGCTGTGATTTCTTTTCCTCAATTGAAGCCGGGTTGCAGATAAACTTTGCCTTCAGTTCGCTCCCGGGAGGACAATCAACACAGGTCTGGGCTTCAGAATGGGCGATGTCCAGGCTGGCTGATTCTGATAAAATCTGTGCTTCAATCTCACTACCCTGGGAGCACTCGAAGCTTTCTTGAACGTCTGTCGCGGCGACATTGTTACTAGTTTGATGAACGGGGCCATCAGACTCAAGACTGAGACTATTGAGCTCAGAAGAAAACTTTGCCTCCAGCTCGTTGCCTGGTGGGCAATCAGTTGAAATGCCAGTTTGCTTGTTCGGTGGCTGCATCTTCAACCCAGACGGGCAATCCTGAACAGAAGGACTGGTAGGATCAGAGATGGAATTCGCCTCCAGCTCACTTCTCGTGGAGCACTTCACATTGGTTCCCGCAGTCAAACCAGCATCCAGATTCGGTCCATTGGTGTTTTCGCTGACCTTATATGTGTCCGACTGAGACTGTGTGGAAGGAATAGATTCAGAAACAATTAATGTTTCCAGTTCACTTCCAGGAGGGCGATCGATATTTACAAAGGGGTTTCGCTTGGTTTCATGGGAAACTTGAGCCCTGCCTTGGGCATCTTGAGAGGTGGGGATTGAGGTAAAGTGTACATCTAGTTCACTGCCTGGAGGACAGTCAAAGGTTGACTGTGAGCTCGACGGGGCTTGCGGGCTCAGTCCCGTGTTCCCCGGCTGGAACTGTCCATCTTCGGCTAAACTAGGGCTGTGGGTAAACTTTGCCTCCACTCCGGCGCCTGGGGGGGCAGTCGACCGCTTTATGAGAGTTGATTTCTGCTTCCATCTTGCTGGATTCGGGTACAGTGGACGGTGATATAGGCGCCATGCGTCCACTAACAGGGTCATACATGTGCGGCGGTCCAACATGGTTGGCGTCACTTCTCGTTTGCCACTTGTCTACTCTCGGCCTAGCATTGGGTGGCTTTTCCATACTGGACAACGACTGAAGGAAACCGTTCAATGAAGTTTCGTTCTTGTTGGAATTTTGAAAGGGGTCCAATCGGCGGCCAAAGACAGCCCTGTAAGGGTCTGCCTCTATGTACTTTTTCAGTAACTCCATTCGTCTGTGCATCTGCCCTGGATCCGAACCCCAGAGACTCCTCACCCGGCCAGCGGGGAGGTAGGAGAAACTTGACTGAGAAAGCCAAGCTGTCCAGCTCCAGTGCGAATGTGTATCGCTGGGAGTAGCATTGCTACCACGGCGAGTTTCGGGCTTTCGCTGACTGTATAGAACGTATCGCTGACATTTGTCAGAACGTCGTGGCATGTGTTCTGTTTTGTCTCCGTGACCGTTTCGTGCATATCGCCATATACTCCGATTTGAAGGATGCGTGGCCACCAATTTGGGAGATACCGGACGAATGACTCGAGGCCCCAATTTTCTGATTGACATTGCAGCCGAGGAACTCATGGTGAATCCTCGAGCTTGTATATGAAACTCAAGGTGTTCTTTATTCTAGCGCTATTGGAGATCAGGTGATTCTTGCAGTAATCAATGGCTTTGTCGATCGGATCCACTTATAGAGTACAGTGATAAGAGGAGTACTGATCTCGGCCGAGTCTGTCCTGCACAGGCCTCTCAAGGCAAAGACGATTGTAATAAATGGGAGTAAAGGACTGATTTTCAGATATTCCCAGTCACAGTTGAAGAAAGAAATGAAAAGGAATGAAGGATGAAGTAAAGGAAGGACCAGAGGACTCCGGATCAGCATTGGGGCACAGCCAATCGGCGATCACATCTCGGTTTCCCCGCAAAATTATGTCAGCAACAGTGACGTCACAATTGAACTTCCCCTCATCAATGCTGTTTTGAAGTCTCTCCTTGCATTAACGAGGCAAGTATGAGAGTGAAGTATGGAGAAGAATTATAAAGATAAACATACATTGATCTGGTATTGCTTCACTTCAAATAAAGGATCTAAGTCTAGGACAAAGGTATGTCTCACTTTTCACGCGACATTGAGCCCAAGCAAGATAAGCGCTCACTGCTCAGTTGGGGATGAGTTTTCGACCAGATTCGTCTGAAGCATTTGAGCATATAGAGATAGCCAAAGATAATAACCTAGGGCATTATTGAATGTAGAGTTGATAGAAAAGGGTTGCACAAGCCGGTCTACTTTTCATCTCTCTTATTCAAATGTCTCGATTGCTCTGCAGCACACTATCGTAATACAACATACTACTGGTTTAATATCCTCTCTAGACTTTTCCCCTTCCCTCTTTACTCCACTTTCTCTCACTCTCTCCCGCACTCTCCCCTCGCGCTCCGGCAGCCACGTCGTCAGGAACCACCGCTTCGAAAATCTCCAACGAAGTGGCCAAAAGAAGCCCATGTTCCTTGCCAAATCCAGGTCTATGGGCCAAATAACAAGAGAAAAGAGTTCTCGTGACGCCGAAGAGATGTTGGTTGTCGATATATATTATGAGTATATGTCGTAAGTACAACATCTATACCTAGCTAGAGTGCTTCTCTATACTGCCTAATTAAAATCCATCATTTTTTTATTTTAGATTACGGAGTTTGGAAATAAGGATATCTATATCTTCGCTATCGCATCTTTGTAAAGTGCTCCGACCTCGGGAGGTACATGTAGTCAATGTGGGGATTCATACCTAATCGATAACGTCCCTCTCCCCACAGAATCCCCAGGGAGCCAAATATTGAACGACTCTCAACAAATTCTTCTCACTGAGATTCTGACTCGATCCATTCCGACTCGCATCCCACAAAATGTCCAAGCCAACACGTACCCCCGTCAGCACTAAGGGCGCACCCATCCCACCCCCAATCCTATCTCAGGGTATGGTCATCGGCAACATGATCTACTGCTCTGGCCAGTTGGGAGTAGACCCAGTCACGGGTAAAATGGTGGAAGGGACCATCCAGGACCGAACAGTATGAGAGATGCGATGTCTGGTTTGTGATATATTTTCTAAAATGTGAACAGCGACAAATCCTCCGCAACCTCAATGCCGTCCTAGAGGCTGGAGGGTCGAGTCTCCAAGACGCGGTCAAGGTCAACATCTTCCTCACCGATATGGCTGATTTTGCGGCTGTGAATGAAGTCTACGCTACTTTCTTCTCGGATCCTAAGCCGGTAAGTATTCTGTGGTCGAAAGAACGAGATTTGAAATCCACAGGGAATATAATCCAAGTCTGGAATTTGTCACTCTTTCTCTTCTGTTATTTCTGAAAAAGTGGGCCGTTTCTCACTATCCATCGGGCCTGGCCCTTTTTAGGTGCGTACTTGCATTGCCGTCAAGTCCCTCCCCCAGGGGTCAGATGTCGAAATCGAGTGTTCTGGCCTGGTTACAAAGCCTGGCAATGGACGCAGTTCTAGACTGTGAACGAGACTGTAGGGATGACGATGCCGTGGAGAATGACAGGGCAAACAACTCCACCTGAATTGTTTCATGGCTCTCTTTTTGATGGCCCAACTCGTGTCACTCTCCACTTGGGCAAGAATCAAATATGCGAGAAAATCGGTCACATGATCTAAGTATAGTTTACAATAGACTTGGAAATATTACGAATTCTCTGGCATTGGTTACGTGTAACATTTGTTCAGCACTTTTCAATAAATACAGGCTGAAACCAAGGATGAAGGGTGGAGACTTGAGCTGTAGCGCTCAGGAACAGGGTTAGCGTCTGCACTGGTCCATGGTACAGTTGATGAGCCCCTGTAAGTTTGTTGTATAAAAAGCAGTGAAGAGATATGACCAGGACCGTCCACGGACACTTCGATATTGTTCATCTCTTCAGGGAAGGAGCCGAAACTCGAACTTACCTGGGCTCTCTGTCCAAGGCCAAACAAAGAGAACGTGGCTGACTCGACTATAATTAAACGTGTGGACCATCCATGGCTCTCGCGTAAGCTTGTATGCTCGGTTCTTTGTTCCTGCATTTCCAAAGGCTTCTTGATCTCGAGGATATGCATCATCCAGGCACAAGGTCTTGAACAAGCTAAAGAGGTAAGATGTTGTAGTAATAGGAGAAGAGAAATAGAACTTAGCGAAGATGATGGGACTGGGTTTTTTTTCGGCTTAATTGATTTTACAGCACCTGGCATTGGTTGGCACAATCTCAAACACACTAGGAATGCTGAGCGTTTTTGAAAATGACGACAAGAATGAGGGGAAATCGCAGCTGCCAACTCCTCCATTCCGATCGGGGCACGTGGTATATTTTATCTTTTTAAAACTTCAAAGCTCAATCAGCCTCGGATCCAGGGTTTGAATGATTATTGTACACTATGAGCAGGTGTTCGTGCCATTTAATCCTTTTAATCTATTATTCTGGAGATAAAACCCTAAAGCTTCGGTAGTAGTATGGAGTAAAGGGTGAAACATTCTTCATGTCTGCCGGATTCTAATGACCCAATTCTGAGGCAGGGCTCATCCCCTACTTCCATAGTGCGTTGAACTAGTAGTGATGTCGCACATATGACTTCCAGCAAGCCAGCTAAGGTAATCACATATGTCTCATGAGACTTCACAATGGAAGAACCAACTTATAGCTCGTTCACAGAACGCCAGGCAACTCTCTTATTGAGCGAGAAGCATTCTCCTCAACATCGGCTAGTCAGCAAATTTCTTTGTTGATCTCAAGCCAGAAAGAGATAAGTGCGAGCTTACGCCACTAACGATATGGTAATGTGAGCCGGGTGTCTGGCGAAAAAGGCCTGTGTATCACACTTGGTAAAGAGGCGGCCGTAATTGGGGCCACGCACTTTAAGAGATTCCCACACGCTCAGGTACGCATGTGGGAAAGACCCACTTAGTTGACGCCTCCGGGCTAGACCTACTGAACTTTGCTAGGAATTTGTCTTTGGGCTTGCACTTTTTTACTCTTTTTTACTTCTTTTATATTGTGATCCGCGGCTTGGGTGGATTCAGCCCCGACTCCATTCTGGACTTTTTTCGTCAATGGTCTCCGAGGCTATTGACCGGCTTTCAGACCCTAACACGGTCTCTTTTTTTTTCCCCCTCTTTTCTTTTTGCAGGGGCTATATTGGAAATTAAGTGCTGCCATCATTGTGTTACATTGCTCAAAAACCTAGTTTTCATCTGCATCGACTTTTATATGTCTTATACTGAATACTCCCGTACGGAGATACTTAGTATCTGATATAGGATATATTTAACATGTACATATGTAAGTTATGATCAGTACCCGCTCAACTCAGATCTAATTGTTGATTTACAATCTCATCGTGCTCGTTGATCGTTGGTCATTTGATCCTAATATTCGCAATGGCCGGATTATGTCCCAGATAATATTGTTACACAGACGAACGGCGTAACGGGAAAAGAAAAGGGAAATATCGTCCGAGTACCTGTACAACGGTCTCTATACCATACATGCCAAAGAATGCTCTAGTCGGATGTACCGGTACGGAGTGCACATAAAGCGATCATAGACCTATAGGGAACAGGCTCATTCTTTCCCCGATGGACATTCATTATCCATTGCGGTTTTCTACATGGTGTGACCCATCATTGCCGTTTGGCATGGAGCACTGGCGAGACTACCTGACTGGCTTGTCTTGGCTATATTGTGCAGGTTAGTATCTAGGGTAGCTTAGCTGCTCCGTATATGGTTTCAGATGAGGGCCTGGGGAAACCATTGGCTTAGGTTACGTATAAGTGATAAGGTACAGATGATAGAAATCTATAATCAGATTAGGATATACTGAGTATTATTTGAACATATAACATTCGAGGAATAGGACCAAGTTCAAAACCAGCAGATATCACAAGCTAATAACTCAACGCTCAGGGGCAAGTGCGTGGCCACATCCCATGCACCTGCCAAACGCTCGGACCAGCTAATTAAATACGCTAAAATGTGTAACTTACTGTAAATTACCCTTGTTGACGCTGTCACAACGTGTCCCGCCCCCCCCCATTCCACCTTTCCCCCCTAATGGAGTGATCCTCTTCTTCTCTGATCCTCGACTTCATTCACTCATTTACTCCTTTCTTTCTCTCCCTTGTCTGCTTTCGCTGTGTTCGCCTGTTGACCCTCAACGGCGTTTTTGACCTGGGCTAATCTCCCCTTGCATCGCCCGAATTGTCTGTTTTCCCTTTCTTTGAACTCGTTGCCCAGACGGTTCTACAGAAAGTCGTCGTTCGCTCCTTACAGCTTTCCTAAGCCCACACTCTTTTTCACCTTTTGGGGATCGTTTCAGGTTTATCGGAACCCCCTTTCCATTCGTTTATCGTCGAATTATTGTTTGCGCCCGCTCGGTCTCATCGGTTGCCATCGAGACGTTGGATACTCTGAAGTATTCTGAAATTGTGATAGTCTGGTCGTGTTGGAAACTCGAATATTTCACGCGATCTACCTCTTTTCACACCCCCGATAGTTCATGAGGTGTTGACAGACGGTGGTTATCGCATTCTTGTACACTGACCTTGGACTCGCTCTGAGCTATCACGTACAGAATTGTTCGACATGCGTCCCGACGCTATCTCCGTTTCTCGCAGCCTTCCTCGCTGTAGGCGGTCTCGAACTCGTCGCAGCTCAAGATGCCCCCGAAGCGCACGTTCAGCGACCCCGTTGGTACTTCCCGCAGGAAGTCAAGCGAACGATTCGCAGAAACGCTGAGCCCGAACCTGGCTCGATCCTCGACAGCGTATTCGACAACTTGGCTCCTACCCAAGTTTCTTCATCCACAGCTATTCCCACCCCGAAACCTCAGCCCCCGCTCAGCCCCAGAAGGGACAGGAGATGGTTGTTGTGACCATCTCGGTCGACCCGAAGAACCCTGAGATTACCCACCGCATTACTGGTACGACGACAATTGGCGGTGAACCGACTGGTACTACTACCACGACTACGCAGAAGACAGAGGGTTCGAGCACCGAGAACACCAGTAAGAAGAGCTCGGAGGCCGCATCTACCGATGCGGGCACCACGAGCAAGCAGGGCTCGGTGGTCGACTCATCAGCCAAGGCTTCGACCACTTCTCCTTCGACTACAACCCCCCAGCGATGGACTCCTTGGTGATTTGAGCTCGGATGTGGGCAACCTCCTCGGAGGTGATTCCTCATCCTCGGCTGCAACCACATCCTTAGCTGCGGTTGTATCTTCGACTGCGACTCCTGTCTCCGACTCATCGGCCAAGGTAACTTCGCCTGCTTCTTCTACTCCTGCTGCATCCTCCAGCGACGGTCTGCTTGGTGACCTGACCTCAGGATTGGGCGGCCTTTTTGGCGAGTCAACAACAGACAGCTCCGTTTCTGCGACACCAACTGGATCTAGCGCCAACAGGATCAGCAGCGCAGCCTCAAGCACGACAAGCTCGGGGTCGGATCTCTCTGACCTTTTGGGCCTGGGTGACAAGTCTTCCACTGGCAACAGTACAAGTGCTACTATGTCCTCGGACGCTTCTAGTTCGCCTACTATCCCAATCAGCGTGCCTGCTTCCGCTACTAGCCCACCGTCGACCACCCTCACTGGCACTACAACTTCGGGTGATTTCGTCGGCAGTCTCGTGTCCGGCGTGGATTCCCTGCTTGGTCTTACCTCTACTGGCACTGGTAGCACTGCTTTGATCCCGACTGCGTCTATGCCAAATGGTGGTCTTCTGCCGTCTAAGTCGACTGGTCTCATTCCTGGCCAGGGAGGTACTAACACCGGTGCCATCCCGACTCCGACCAAGTCCCTGCCATCAATTCCTGTCCCACACTCGCCCGGCTCTGATTCTACCTCTACTTCTGGATCCGAGACTGCCTCCGGCTCTAACACTGCCTCGGCTCCTTTGTTGGGCACTACCACTGCCTCTGTTCCCGGTAGTGGCTCTCACGAGAGCTCCAAGGTTCCCACCCCCACCTCTCACCCAGTCTCTACCCCTCTTCCCTCGTCGACTTCGACAAGTGAAGAAGTGAGCACGGCCAAGACCAGTGTGGAGCCTCAGACCCCAACCGAGACGCCCACGCCCTCCACCTCCGACGACAACGACTGGATGCCATCGACCATTCTTATCGTGCCTACCACCACTGCCACCGAGAGCTCGACCTCCGGTGAGACTGCGAAGCCCACGGCACCACCATCGCTCCCTGGGTCTATCACCCCATCGAACGAGGTCACCGAGCCCCCGTCTGACTCTATCTTGCTCCAACTTGGTTTCAATAGCCAGCTGCCCTGGTCATTCGTTGCAACCACTCCCTTGTCGTCGTCACAGATCTTCAACTACACCCCTCAGGCTATTGAGAACGCTTTGCCAACCCTCTCTGCTAAGGACGGCCCAGTTATGTTCGCTATTGAGCCTTACTATAACTGGCAGTCCACGGGCTACAACGCCACCCTTGCTATCTTTTATTTCCCTCGTGACAAGGTCGATGCCCTGAAAGCGCTTAAGGTTAACCCCAACTCCGCTCTCTACAACCAGGCTAGCGAATCTATCCAGTCATTGATGGCAATGGTTGACCCTACAATTCCCCTCGAGTTCTCCGGAAACTACCCTAGTGGTGACAGCGACTCAACTGGGGCTAACAACCCCGGCGGCAGCGATGATGGCCCGGACAGTGGCAACAATGACAACACCGACGGCTCTGCCGGTAGCTCTAAGGCTAAGGCTAGCTCTGTTGGAATTGGAGTCGGTGTTGTGGCCGGTGCTGCCGCTTACGGTGCGGGTATGTTCTGGGTTGCCCGCCGCTACCGCAAGAGAAAGCAGTTGCACCAGCGCTCTAGCTCGACCGTTGAGCAGATGAGCCAGGGAGGTTCCGCTGCCGGTTCGATGTTTGCTGCCGGTGGTCGTGCCCCCAGCCATGGTAGCCGTGGAACTGCTCGTTCACAGATGATCAGCGCTCCCGTTATGGCAGAAAACTCTTTGGGATGGAACTAGACATGTATAGACCACTACTTCCATCACGGACGAGCTCCTTTTGGACCCTATGACGACAACCAGAGGGCACTGGGCCTTTGGAAACCCTCTTTCTTCTGAGAAAACTGCTCCTTTCAATGCGCTCATGCTCTCCCCACTCTCCAACAGAGGCAGGGAAGGAGAGACTGCACAAAACTTCATTTTCATTGTTCATCATCCGGTAAGGATTTGTATGTCATATATCACGTATCTCTTCTTTCTGTGCAATTTTTGACCGGCCACTTTTCTTCTCAACATGATACTCCGAGCGACGGTTGGTCGTCGCTGCGTGTGTCGCGTTATCTTTTTTTTTTCTTTCTTGACATATTCCCCCTTTTGTTCACCAAATATTTCTTTTTATCCCTTTACTCCTTTCAATGGCACTGGGACAACCAAATTTGGGACGAAATCTTTTCTCTACTTTTTTGGCTTCCACCTGAAAGCTCTCTCTTATGAACTATTGGTCATTCAGTCTTTGGACTTGCACATTAATTATGGATTTGGGTGGCATCTTTTTGACAGAGCCCAATGGCTTTCCCCTGCCCTTATTTCCTCTCTCTCCTTTCTCCATCCCTCCCTGTCTCTTTGTTGTATCTCAATATCTCAATCGTGTTTTCTTGTTTTTGCGTTTTTGCGTTTCTGTACAGATGTATGAAATGTGTCCAAGTGCGGTGTGGCCTTGTAGATGTGGACGTGAGCCTGCCAATGAGACGAGTAGATCTTTTTCTTTTCAACCTTGTCTTATAGAAGGTAAATATTGTAGTGTAGGCTTGTTATGTTCAAGCTAAGACGTCTTAGTCCTTGCCGAATATAGATGTTTGACCACATCGTGACGACCTGCACTTATTGCATCGTCTAAAGCATCATTATGTCTATTCCTAAGCTTGAATCCGTGTTGTTCAAGAAACTGAAGCATCTTGAGATTGCCCTTGCCCGCTGCAACCTGTACGCCAGAACTAATATTCCCATGGACATCTGCTTCCGCTTGAACGAGTCTTCCGTCTCAGGAAAATCTTAACCACATCATAGTGACCGTTGACTATCGCAGAGCTACATGCACTCAGTATACCCTGGGTATCAATCGCAAGGTGACGGTGAGTGCACCATTCCAACAGAAACTGAACAACATTGGTGTGGCCGTGTTTTAATGCGCGTGAGAAGGCTGGCTCCCCATTTATATGCCAACTCAGCCTCAATATCAGCGCCCCCTTCTATGAGGAGTCGCATGACATCGACATAGCCATTTTTTGCCGCAAGCATGAAGGCCGTCTCTCTTGTAGTAGTGTCACTGCTAGCATTGACTTCGGCTCCTCCGTCTAGAAGTAGCTGTACCATTGGAACACTCCAAGAAATCACAAGCCGAGGACCCCTCGAACTCTGAAAAGTACAAGCCCGATACCAAAAGAGCCCCAGAGTGGGCACTTGCGCACTCCTATTTTGCAAATATGGGCGGATTTCATTATCGAGGGAACATCTATTTCCCATTGACTGCCTCGCATTATGCCCAAGATTGCGAGCTCTACGAGATGCCCAAAGTCACCGAAGACGACATTACGGATCGAAGTAAGCAAGACATCTTCGCGAAAGGAATTGCCCTCATCCAGATATCACAACTAGTGATTTCTCTCATTGTCCAAAAAACACAGAGCCTGCCTTTCTCCCAGCTGGAAGCGCTCACACTCGGTCTGGCTGTTTTTGGGATAGACACCTATATTGTATATTGGTACAAGCCCCAAGACATAGGTGTTCCAATAACAGTCCAGCATAAGAAACCTGGGGCTGAGCCACTCAGATTTATACAAAATCACGATAATTTCTGGGAGATTCTCACCAATCACAGAAGCTCCCATGATGATCAAACAGTTGACCGCATCAAGAACGATAATATCCCCTTAGGAGCATCCAGGACAACACATGTGGCAATTCCAACCTTGGCCGTCATGTCAGCAGCAGTCGGATGTCTCCATCTAATAGCTTGGAACTTCCATTTTCCTACAGAGGTTGAAAAACTTCTACGGAAAGTTACCACCATTCTCTCAATCACAGTTCCTATGACCGGCCTTGCTATCATTCCCCTGGCGCAAATCACCGTTCAGACAGACAGGACGCGCGAGTTTATGCGTGGCTGTATAAACCTGTTACGAGAGATCTCTTGGTATTGCCGAGACTCTCTATATAAACAGGATTTGTATCAAGCAAAAAGGAGGTTGGAAGATGTATATGCTGCCGTGGATGAAGAAGAGAGGGACCAGGTACATTACAAGCAGATCTTCGCAGACAGAATTGCACATCCTGCTTTTCTAGATTGCATGAACAGCTTCCTCGAGAACGGACATCGATCTGAAAGAGTTGGGACAGTTAGCCTACCTGAGAACTTTCTATCTGATTTTAAAGATCTCGTGGATTGCTTGAATGGAGATGAGCTCAAAGCGAACATTGACAACGCAAAGACTAATGTTTTCCCACTGAGAAAACACTTGCCGAAGTTGTCAAAGAAATTCAACTTGTGCATTCTATACGCTACTACTCTGATATACTGTCTGTCCAGACTGATGATCCTGGGGTTGGCAGTTTCTAGTCTGCGCTCTATGCCAGATGAGGTTTACATAGAAACGTGGACAACAAATCTCCCTGCGATTTGACAGTATTTGACATACGACATGACTATGACCAAAGTTAACATATTAGGAATTTGAATACACAATGAGAGAAATAAGTTTACTGCAAGATCCTAGGTAACGCGCTACCTGTGAAGTCAATCGGCTATATCAGTCTGCCATAACTGCTACACCTTTTGTATATATCCTGTAGGTTAGATGAAAATTGGTAGATTCATGTAACTACATCCATCAGGCCCTAAGATAATAACTAACGTACCGTTTCATTCAGAATATCGAAATTATACATAGACAAAGGACACACTCTTCTGTTGGATTGCCAAATGTGCCAACTTGTCCAAATCCGAGTCAGATAGTTCTTGATCCATCTGTTTCCGTACCCTAACAACCAAATTTTGCCCATAATGATGCTCAAAATCAACACTGGCGTTCCAATTGAAGAGCGGCGAGCTCTCACGGAAGAAATATGGTTGACCATCCTTCTTAATGAGGTCAAACTTCTGCCGATGTGCGGATTGGTGAGCTGTTATGAATTCCCCTGCCGTTGTTACTGCAACACTACAGTGCCAAGGACTCATGGAAAACGAGTTCTTCTGTGGGATAAGGGAAAGGACAGCTTTGTCTGTCCTGATGAGGATGGATAGAGAGACGCAGTGAGTCCGGGTAAATTTGGCGTACGAGCTCCGCGTACTCCTATAACCTATAAGATTAGCCATATTGTCACCTTACATGGCGCTCTAAATAACTGACCACTCCGCGGGCAATCATTTCCTTTGCAATACTTTTGATCTTCTTCTTATATTGCTTGGGGCCAGCGCAATCTTTGGTCACAGGGCTGAATTTTAGATCGACTTTCATGAACTTGTCGTATCCTGCAGTAAATCAGCCAGAGGCATTAATTATACATGAAAGCAATACACTTACCGTTATATGTCCTCAGATAATCCTCGTCACTTTTCAAAAACTTATCGACATCGAACTCCGGCCGTCCACATCGTCGATGAAGTTCAGCCCTCGATAGACCACAGAGCTTCACATAATCGGATTTGGAAATCTGGGCAGTATAAAGACCCAGCATATTCATAATACGATGGAACTGAATACAAGCATATCCCTTCTCAACAGCGATCTTCCGCAGTCGATTCCCATACTCCCAGACCTCCTCATCAGAAATCCCCGTAAGATCTAGGATCTCGGAATCAAATTAGCGTCCTATCATGTATCTAACGTTCAAATTAATAGGAGAGTCTAATCTCACCATTGTAGCAAATCCCATCCGTAACAATAACCACAACCGCACCAGGCGGGTAAACAGCCTTAATATCCCGACAAAGATTCACCAACCGCGCCAACCCAAGCTCATCCCCCAAATCTGGAAGCGCACCCAGAACTTTATCCATGCGGTTATTACTCTTCATTGGAAAAGCCGGTAGGACCATAAGGAATCGCCCTGCTGGCTGCGATATGGGTTTGCACGCGCGGTGTGAACGATGACCGACCCAGCCATTCACCAGCTGGGGTTGTGCACTCGTGGGAGCCGTAGCACTCCACGATGTTCATTATTTCTTCTGCCTTTAGGCGGGTTGATGTGGGACATATTGCCGGTGTGTCGGGATGGGTGTAGGTGGTTCCAGGTTTTGGGGAGACTGCGTGTGGTTTTGGGTGGAAGGAGACTCGTGTCTTCGGGATGGGGGTGATATAGTCCAAGGGGATTATGTTTAGGTGGGCGGAGACTTCGACTACCGTCGTAGCCAGCATTTTGATATAGCTCATGATAGGTGGGAGCGGGGAAGTCGTGGTTGTAGCTAGGGATGGGGAAGGGGTAGATCTGGTACTCGAATGTACTCGTGACTTATAGGGGTGGTATCCTCGTGTATTTGTTGGAATTTGGTGGCTTTCTATTGTCACCCAGCTCTTGTTTCATATGTCCATGTATATTCGCCGCCAAACTTCCCTGTCCTTCCCCCAAGCTTCTTCACCGTCCTTTTTGTACTTCTGATAACCTGTCGGTGGAATCTGGAGCGAGAACTATGTTATTGCGCAAAAGAAGATAAAATTGTATTGCTTACCGTCTGACTACATGTGCGCTGAAGCTAGCGCATGACTTGGAGTATGACCGTGTTCTCATATATGCCCGGATTAGGAATTTGATCGAAGAGGCCCGGAGAACAATATGGGATACTATATGTGGACACGCCGTGTTGCAGCTAAATGGTTACTGATTGGCCATTCGAAAATGCTCTATCAACCTAAGAATTCTATAGCTGTTGAACTGACTGTTCATGCATGATCTGACGGAAACCGCTTCTTGATTAGGCTAGGATCCGGAATGCCTTACACGAGAGGTCGGGATCGTGGGGACAGGGGAACCAATTAATGTCCGTGGCAAAATATTCCGGGAAGAAATGTAACATGTCGATGTGACATTTCATTGTTTTGACTGGCTAAAAGCTGATACACCGTGCGAAGTCATCAAGGTCCAGGATATCCCGATGGGAGCTTAAGACTAGACTGGACGGTCAAGTGCCCGCTGCTCTCTGTACACAATATAACGTGTACCAGTGGTACGCCGCACTGCAGCTGTTAGGGATGACATGCATGTCTAAAATTGCTCTAGCTTCACAGCTTGACTATAGTCATGCCAAGACCGGGAGTATTCCATCGCCAAAACCTCCGTCATGTGCATCGAGTATAATGTTGGAAGCCTTGATCAAGCAAGTTGAGCTCATCCATAAATTTTGGTGGTCTCATTTAGGCAACCGATTCACAAGAAGTGAGAAGCCTCCTTCTCTCGCTCCCAGCGATACTCCATCCGCTTCGCAGTCTCTATTCCGACTTCGATACCACCATAATACTCCGAAATAAACTCCAGCATCACATCAATCCCTGCAGTTATCCCAGCAGATGACCATATCTCAACCCCAGGTAGCAATGACAGGCCGTCAGACATCGCATCCTTGGGAACACTATCGCGTAGCCACCGTCTGTTGCGCTGCCATTTCACGTCGCCAGTTTGTTTAGCGACATCATCGTAGCGGGCTGAATTTGTTGTCACCTGGCGTCCATCTAGAAGACCAGTCTGCGAGAGGACATGGCTGCCAGTACAAACAGTAATGATGCTGTGGCGGACAAAGGGCGCAACAGCAGTCAGAAAGTCCTGAACCTCCTGCGTGTTGGGGACTTTAACTTTATCGGATGTAGTATTAGTGTCGTAAATACGGTTCAGGCGTGTCCCGGGGCCCCCTGGAATTATCAATACATCGATCGGCTTGAATTCACCACTACCATCTTCGGCAACTTTCCCCGCTTTCAGGGCAGAGACCACGTCAGCGAATGTACATTGTGGCAGCATTTGCTGGTTGCAAGCTGTATTGATGTTTGAAGCGGGCAGATCAAATTGCCAATTTGCCTTCGGGGAGGGATTGGTTTCACTGAGACTGGGTCCGGAGTTGCGGCGGATACAGTCAGGGTGATGGCTGATGTGTCAGGGTACTGCGTGCGAATGTTGAGAATGTCCAGTGGGGCAGCCACGTCTAGCAGCTGGAATCCTGGAAACAATGGAAGGTGGTAATGGAGAGGTCTGAGGCCCATTTTGTGTAATGCTCCATTGGTGGAGAAGGCACGTGAAGAGAAGAGTTGGGAAAAACGTGGTAGCAGGGAAGTCATGCTGAAACAAAGCAAGTCACACAATTTTGGTTGATTCGGAGTATTCCAAGGTCAGTTTAATGTAATTAGCCAAGGAGAAATGGAGAAATGTATTCACGTTCATATTCATTCACATGCACGTGAAGATGAGGATGGCAAAGATAGGGTAACACACTAAACAAGTAACCTTGGAGACTCTGTTATGTGACTTAAGGGTAATACCTACCTAGGTAACTGTGCTTGATACTCATGATCATCCCGGTAAGACAAGTAGATACACTGCATAACGCTCTATTCAAATATAATCACGCATGTACGGTAAATTTTTTTTTTTTCAAGCCTCCGAAATGTGAGATCCCACTACAAACAACGCTCCAGTTAAAATGCAAATACCCCCAAACAATTGCGCGTACAGGTAATCACCTCCCCGTAACGCGATCAGCTGTCCTGCTATGTACGGTCCAGTCAGTAATGGAATGCTATTGATCGTGGTGATCATCCCAACACGTGCGCCGGATTTTTCCGGGTCTTTGGATCCAAAGTACGCATTGGCAGCGGGCAATTGACTCTGTGCACAATTTACCAGTAATCCGTAGACTGTGGCCCAAATGAACATGCCAACGTGGGTGTGTACACCAATCCACCCTAGAATGGCGATTCCGCAAGGGATGGAGACTGCAATGCAAGTCCTTACCGCACCCAGCCACCGGTCTGCAACAAATGCAGATGCAATGCGAGACGGAACACCAACGCCATTCATCAGGATTAAAAGGAGAAGCGAGTCCGATGCAGTGAAATCCGTATGGACCTGAGCATATTGTCGAAGCTGTAGATGCTGTTAGTTGTTATGCCATCAACCAATGCGAAACCAAACAAAACTTACATAGATGTATGCAAAGTAGATACCCTCGAAGATCAGGAATGAGCCGATCGAAAAAAGGAGGTAAGGGCGTTCACGGAATGCACTGAAATCAACCCAGGGAGGAGGGCTCCGAGGTATAATCCGAGATCTGGTAAACTTGACAATTATAACGCTGTTGAACAGGATAATGGCCGCCATGATCCGGACAGTCCACGCGAAGCCAATGTTGTTGAAACACTGGTACGCGACCACTGGGAAAATCATTCCTCCAGTCGCTGCCCCGCAAGAAGCCAGCGAGACGGCCATCACTCGCTTGGAGTTGAAGTATGTCGCATACAGCGAGATCATGGGGCTAAAGACGAGCCCGTGGCCAATTCCACTGACGATGCCCTGCGCTAGCCAGAAATGCCATAACTTTGTGCCAAATGAGGTTGCCAATGCTCCGGAGACTTGAAAGAAACACCCAAGGGTGATACATTGTCTCAGGTAACCCGCATCCATCGCTCGCCCCGAGAAAGTGGCCAGGAAATGGACGAGGAACATCTGCACCGCTCCTATCCAAGACGCATTCGCTGGGCTCACATCGAGTGTTCTGACGTAGTATTCCTGAAAAAAGCCGTATCTATATTGGGTCAACAGTTGATATTGACCTCGGATGTGACAGGGCTCCCTTACGATGTAATATAGCCCCAAACATTGAACACAACCAGGTGTCCAGTCAGCACTTGGGTCCACGCTAAGAGACCTCCGTCAGGAATTTCATTATTCTCGGCCTTGCGATCTTCATCTTGTTGACCGGGATCTGGGCGAATAAATAGCGGGGATTCTTCGGTAGGAGTAGTATGGGTAGTGGTCGACGTTGTGTAAGACAAACCGGTGGTAGTCAAGCATGCTCCGGCCGCATTGCTCTGTGACATATTTGGCTGTCCCATATTGTTTCGGTCCAAAAGAGCAAAAAGAAATATATCCGAGGATTCGGGTAATAAAGTGGGAGGTGGGCAGTATATGAGAGTTGAGATCTAAAATGTGGCTACGTACATTGTGGAATCAATGTACCCGCTCCTGCAGAAATCTTACAGATATGCTCAAGTTTCTTACCGATTACAGGTACTGCTGCAGGTAACAATACCTATATATTGTGCAGGTAACTTAATAAAATACCGCAAAGTACTCCGTACATGTCACTGCAATCAGATGTTGATCTTGACACGGAGGGATAATAATAACATCCGAACATCCACAGTCTCATTTTGCTGCACACATCCACGAGTTCCTCTGCATTCTATTAACAATGAAATTTGAATATGCCCCAGACGAAGTTTCCCAGAAAGTTGTCGAGGTGCTAAAGCGGTTTTGCTTGCATTCGAGCAAAGATGGCCATCAGAAAGACGTCGGAAGGGTGTTCGAATCCGTGCCTGAGAAGCTGAAGATCAATATCACCGCGAACCAGCCAATCACCATGGTCTTACCTGCATTTCCATGGAAGAGCCCGAACCAGAACAAAGTGCTAGGGGATGGAACCGATCTAGGAGAAGAAATCGGCCTGGCGAAGTTGAATCACCTCTGCGAGGATATCTCGAAAGTCTACCCTTATGGCGCGCGACTAATCCTCATTTGTGATGGACCAGTATATAATGGTATGCTATTTATTGTATCAACCGAGCGGTGCTATAATTATCAAGAATGGGAAAACAGACTGACGGTGTAGACTTGGTCGGCGTTCCCGACGACGAATATTACGACTATGGCATTGAGCTGCGCAAAATAGCCCAAGAGAACCATTTTCTTCCATCCAGTTTATCCGGCTGATAAATTTACTGGGTTTAGGTGATGGCGAGAAAATCTCGAAGGCAGATTATTTGCGTCTGGTTCCCACCTGCAGGGAGAAACTGATGTCACCCACATACTTCGATCCGAGATTTGACATTGACCATGAATTGGAGACAAACCCAGATACCAAGACAACATACGAGAGCTATCTTGGTCGCATCTCAGAGGATCTAAGATGGGCCAAAGGATTTGACCCTCTTGTCGCGGCCGACCCGGCGCTCTACGCGGCTGAGGTGTCGAAGATGGCGAAGACTATGATCAACCGGCTCATTGTAAGTTTCAATGTCATATATAGTTGCTGATTTGGTTGTTCTAAAAATATGACTCTCTGGCTCACTATTTCACCAGGCGTATGAAGCCGTAATTAACGCGACACTCGGAAAATACATCCGTCTCTCTATTCACCCTTCATTAGGGCGAAACAAGATCTCTATTCCCCTGCTGCGGCAGGGTGAACTGTTTGGTGACATGCCGTGGCATGCAAGTGTGGTGGTACTGTCAAATGGGGAGATTAAGACCGGAAGATCTCAAGAATTTCGCAAATCATACGAGGTCGTTATGAGGCATGGCCGGCCGTATTACTTCAGGGAGCGGAGCCCAACATATGAATGGGAGGCAGAGGTGGAATTCCAACATGATTACGATGGGTTAATTGTGAAGAACCCCTGTCAGAGGGTTCAGACGCTTGGTAGAGATGATCGCTTGAAGCTGGCTCGCTTGATTGTGCAGTATCAGACCAAGTCCGTTCGGGTGGAGGGCTTCGATGTGCCAAATGACGCATGACTGTTCGGATATTCCGTTTCTTCTGCTTGTGCTAATGGTGTATGCTACTGAAAGGAAGAATACAAAGAGTACAGGACAATAATATGTGATGTAAAAAAATTAAGAGCAAAAAGAAAGTTGTGCTCACTGAGCTAATAAGGTGGGTCTACCCAATGTTCCCCCGTTTGGAACCATGGGTTCTCGAAACAGACTAACCCGACTCTGCCTAGGACTATGGGTATTTACACTGACACCCTTGAAGTTGGCTTGTTCAATAAGGCAGATCTTTGACTGATGATGTCTGATCTTCGAGTTCTAATTTCAACTCTCAAATATTGACAGCAAGGCCAATGAAAGCAATGTTCGATATAGGCAAAATCGGTGTTTGTAGTTTCAGCCGATTGGGTTATCGTCTTCTATACATAAGCTTCTGCTTGCTCTTTCGGCACATTTGGCCATTTTTCAACTGTCACGGATGGAAAACATCTGATCAATACTAAAGGAATGTCTTTCCTCGCTGCTGCGACGATCAGCATGACATTGACGAAACCAAGGTCATTAAACGCCGTCCCACTACAGAATTTGGGTCCCAGGCGTTTTATATTCTGATCCGCGCTTAGCAACAACTTGGTCGTATCAAGGTTATTGATTCCACCTGTTCCAGCTTCAAAGGAGAAGTTGCCCGGTTTGCTACGAATGGTGTACCTATTGACTGGGTAATGATATAAGCATACAACGGGATATATTCGCTGTCCGGACCACACTCCTTTACATCGAGGCTGCTAAAGTTATATCCAACAACTGACAGAAATGATGGGAACCGGCAGGCTATTGAGTGTAGTTGAAGACTTAGTCCATAATCTTCCTCTGTTGCTAAGCTGGTGCTTGGGCCTATTATTTTTGGCTGCTTTATATGGTTCGATAGGTGAAGTCTACGAAGACGTCACCACATGCTGCAACGACTGCTCTTTGTGAGAGTCACCGGATATGTTCTTCACCTCTTTGAGCCGTAGATGAAATATATCACCAAGACAATCTTCACTAACCACATCTATGACAATAAGAAATTGGAAAGGCTCACTTCAACGTAGACGAGCAGCATGGCAATATAATATAAAAAAGGAGGAACGATAATAGTGTGTATTTGTTCAAAAGGATTGGGTATAAGTGCATAAGCAAACCCAGTGGATATCAGTAGAATAGGAGACCAGAGTAGGAAATGATGTGTACAAAAAGTGGTAGGGGAGATGCGCCCGTACGCAAGAGACAGAAGCAGCCGAAAGGAAGCGCCTCAGTCAAAACAATGAATAGAAACTGATGTATTTACCTCATTCCTTCTTTTTTTGTCCGACTCCGATTCAGACTTTCCAAACCAGCCCGCCAGTGATGCGATTCCACCACCACCGGCCTTTTCACTTGAGTGACGACGGAGCTCACGCGCTCGTTCTCGCTCAGCCTTGTACTCGTCCCAAGAGAGATTTGCTGCCGCCGCAGCACGGACTTCCTCTTCTTCCCGAGGAGGAAGGCTCTTGCCTGGCAGTGGGCGGACGGCTGCTTCGCCGCCGTAAGCACGAAGACCGGTTCGGAAAGCCCATTCAACAGCCTCGTCGACCGGGTGATCGAAGATATAGGGAAGGAAGGGGACAACAGCGAGACCAAGCTACAATAAACCGTCGTTAGCATCATCATCGCCAACTTGCGGTTTCGACCGGAAGGGAAACGGTACATACCCCGATCGGCGTCCAGGTACGAATGAAGGCAACCTTGACCCCCTTCACCATCTGCCCAGAGTAGCGGACCACACTGTGGATTGTGAATGCGGGCAATCCCATACTCGCGATACTCTGGAACACCGCGCGCTTGGCCATGACCATGCGGTAATCCTCTGCAAGCGGGATCTCCGGAGTCGTCCAGTTTGGAAGCTCATCCTTGGACACAGCTGATTTACCAATCGTCATGTTTCCCGTCGCCATGCCCTTGATAATCTGGTCCTGCGAAGGTTGGCTAGCATCCTTGTATGCCTCGCCCGTAGGAGCCAGTGCCTTCCAGTTCCGGAGATAGGCCTTGTAGCCTTCGTGGCCAACATCGCCTAGCAGGTATGTCCAGGAGATAGTGTAGGCAGAGCGCACGAGCCATGGGTGTGCAATCGGGCGGAAGGACTCGCCGATGTCTGAAGTGTAGGCGACATAGCGATGGGCGGACAGGAGGATTGTGCGGATGCGGTTGGCGTACGCGGCATAACGGAACCCTGTGTCTGTGGAGTTCACCGAGCTGTCGTCAATCGAGGTGCCCATCGTTAGTTTCTTTTTCGTCTATGCTTGCTTTTGGCGTTGCGATGATTTGCTCGAGCTTGCGGGGTAGTATGTCATCGACCCAAGCCGGGAAGTACCGTTCGACGGCCTTCTTTTTCAGGCTCTCTCTTCCCTCCATATTGAGCACGCGACAGCAACAGCAATTTGCTTGAGATAAGAAATAATAATAATATAGACGAATTAGAATTTCACATACTATTGGGAATAGAGGTCATCGTAGAACTCGTCGTCGCGATCAACCAACTGTTGCAATTTTGCGGGGAGCTTCTCTCGAACTACAGGCTTATCCAACAACTCTTGTGGGGGAGACTGGGGTTCATCCTGTTGACGACCGCCCCAGACCATTGTAAATGTAGTATGGTATGGTCAGTGATAAGTTATGTAGTCGTTTCGAACAAAGCAACGCTTATTTGCCTGCCAAATGCCGGGGAACCAACTCGAAAGGGGTATATAATATGCAGAAAGTAAAAGAGAAGAATGAAGGAAAGCTATGCAAGGGAGGAAAGGAGTTCTTATTTGAAGACTCTCATATTAACCGCGCACCACAGCCGAAGGCACAGCCATAGCCGGGATATGCAGCATTAGCTGTGGGATATTTCCCTCCGAGGTACCGTTAGTATAACTCCGGCTCGGGATCTGGGGTAGAAGTAATATACGAGATGATGCTTCGAGGCCGAACTCAACATTTATTGTTCATTGTGGAGGCTTTCGACCGGAGCTTTAGCTTGCTTGACTCTGTCCCTCCTCGGTTTCTATGTTGTAAACTATTTCGTCTTCTGTGTTGTGATTGATCTTCATATGCCGATGCCCCCCGTAGCGTTTCGTTCCGGGGAGATCACATGATATCGGATGCAGCCGGGTGCCCCGAGTGTCCTTACCTAATCATCCACAGTTCCGAAGTCATGTGAATTGTCTAACCAAATCAGGAAAGGCGGTATCCGTGCCGACCTCGTCGTTTGGTCCAAGCCTGAGGATTCCGTCCACATCGCTGCCAATTGAACCTCTCGCTGTACCTCAATTCCAACCCTACAAAATGGTTGTCTACTACCAGATCGCCGGCAAGAAGGTCGGCTCCCACGTTGTAAGTTTACACCACCCCGAAAAGGCCGCTGCGCGCTCGCTATCCCTTTCTCCTCGCGCTTCGTTCGGGTACTTGTGGAACATGAAAGCTGACCATGCTCCCTTCACCCCCTCATTAGCTCGCCATGGCCACCCTCGGCAGCATGTTCGCCGGTTCCTGGCTCGCCATGTCCGGTGGTGAGAAGCCCAAGACCGCTCAGGGTCCTCCCATCAACGCCTCCTCCAAGGATGAGGAGAACTTCGTCCAGTATGTCACGGAGAACCGAGAACCGAGAACCGCCGATCATAAATTGGATCTCGATATCAGCCCCCGAGCGTCTTACTGACTTAGTATCTCACAGGAACTTCATGAAGGAGGTTGATGGCGGCGAGAAGAAGCCCGCCGCTGGCCACTAAACCACCCCTCGATACGGTTTATATTGATGGAGCTTTCGAACATGAGCAGCTAGGATTCCGAATTCAAACAAACTGCCTCGGCTCTCCTGTCACTTCTAGCGCGCAACGATGTGTATCCGCCCTTCCCCAGCGTTTTTTTTTTGTGACCACGGTTTTTTTCGAGAAGCTACACGGACCGATTTTGGGATGTCGGCGGATGAGGTTGATTGATCTGTACATAGGAGGCTTGTACGCTGCATAGAAAATTATCCTCTTGACACTTGTTCTTTGGGTCTGTTCTTTTCCCTCCTATTGAGCAAGATCAATCACGGCAGAAGAAAGGATGGTACGATTGCTTCAACACAAAATCGCACCGGGTTGTTCGGAGCCGGTGCCTGACAAGAGCCATCTGCGGACTTATATCCTTGCATGAATATGTCTATATACAGCTCCGATCAGCTTGCTTGTCCGGCCAGTAGGAGCGTATTAGCAATGAAGGACCGTAAAGCAAAACGAGAAGATGTAACTACCTAGATAGATTGTAACCAGCATAGAACAAGCATATTCTGTAACCACGCCAATGGTAACACGCGACATCCATACACGATCAACCTTGGAATGACCTCCCAATGAGTTAAGCAATTCGAGTGCTGCTCAAATCAACTTCAAAAAGCTCTTCGGATATCCCGAGGTCTCGGAACACCACCACCCCCCCCCCAACCTAACCAACCACTTGACCCTCACTACGACTCCCCAAAACACCCCTACCAATAACCCGAGAACCCAAAATGAAACCCCTCCCTTTCCCATTTCCCCTCAACATCGGCACAGACATCGTCCACATCCCACGCATAGCCCGTCTCCTCGCCCGACCTAATTACCTCCCACGATTCACGCGCCGTATCCTCTGCGACCAAGAACAACACGACTACCACTCGCGCTTCAGCGAAATCCTCAAAGTACGCGCCGCATACCACCAGCAGCCTCCACCCGTGCCGGCAGATATAACACGCTGGCTGGCGGGACGCTTCGCGGCGAAGGAGGCGGCGCGGAAAGCGGCACCGTCTGGTGCAGCTTCGATTGGCTGGAAGGATGTCATGGTCCGGGTTCAGGAGGATGGGGGGGGAGGTTTGGGAAGGGTGTGAGTCGGAGGCCTGAGATTGTTTATCTTGGGAATGGGCTGGATGAGGATGCGGGTGACGGGAGGGTCGCGAAGTTATCGATCTCGCATGATGGGGAGTATGTTGTCGCTACTGTTTTGGCCGCTGGATGAATTTCTGGGTTTATTGGACTCCGCTTTATTGGTTGACTCTCATTACAACTGTTGTGGCTGGTTCACTCAGTCTCTTAAGGCTGCGGCTCGCCCGGCACCGGACGGCAAGCAGTCAATTGCCTGGTACGCATCTTGCGATTGTCCCAGTGTGCAACTACTGGGGTACGGGAGAGCTATTGGGGTACTCGTTCTCTTCTAGGCAGTGTGGTTTTGGAGAAAGTTAAGGGTTTGATATGGTTTGCCATCCGGTCGAATTGATCTGGCTCAATGCTTGCACTTGGGTCGTACCAGTCGAGGTACATCCGAAACTCGAATGCCAGCGCGCTTCACTCTGGAACCTCACCATTGGTGTCCGATATGAATGTACTTCACCGCCTGTGGTCAGCGATACCTGGGTAGACGGTGGAGATGGCTGGAAGCAACACCTTCATTGGGTATATTAAAGAAATAAATTCCAGTGAAAATACAGATCTAAGGACCAATAAAAAATCGCGTATTGAAATATTCATTACTGTATCCATGGATATATGCAGCCATTTAGAGAGGTGCTACTTGTTACGCTGCGCTATAAAACGGCACAGAAATCCTTATCGTCTATCAACTCCAGATGTCTCCCCCACGTAGCATATTCCATATTCTTCAGTAGAACATCCTAAAAACCAAACGTGAGTATGAAATCTGCATTTACTGTTCAAAACGGCCTATTCCTGCCTAACCGCTCATCCTTCACTTTGAATATTGTGCTAACCACGAGCCCTAGTGACATTCCCACAAAACATGCCATTCTCGCATCATAGCCATTCGGGCCAATTCTGCCCTGGCCATGCCAAAAACTCATTAGAAGATGTGATTCGAACTGCCATCAGCAAGAAGATGCAAGTCTTCTGTCTGACCGAACATATGCCCCGCCATAAAGAAGATTTCTATCCCGAGGAAGTGCGTAAGGAACACATCTACCGCAGAATCCCGAATTAACCAATCATCCAGTTTGAATCTGGCGATACAGAGGAAAGCCATGCATCAAACGAAGCCGCTTATTGGAAGGAAGCAGTCTTTCTCCGCGAGAAATACGCCTCCCAGATCAAGATCATCATCGGCTTCGAGATTGACTGGATCCGACCCGCCTCTAAAGATTTGATCGAACGCTCGCTTTCACGGTTCCCCTTTGAATTCTTCGTTGGCTCAGTTCACCACATGCACACCGTACCAATTGACTATGACCGACCTATGTACGAGCAGGCTCGAGAGAAAGCCGGTGGAACAGATGAGCGACTATTCGAGGACTACTTCGATGCACAACTGGATATGTTGAAGCAGCTCAAACCACTCGTTGTGGGGCATTTTGATTTGATTCGTCTGAAGAGCGATGACATGGAACGCAGCTTTACTACCTGGCCTGGGGTCTGGAGTAAGATTTTACGGAACTTGGACTTTATTGCTTCATACGGCGGTATGCTGGAGCTCAATTCGGCTGCGTTGCGCAAGGGAATGACTGAACCGTATCCCAAAGCGGAGATATGCAAGGTAAGTACGCAGTCTTTTGTTATATATCTTTCGACTAATTTGATAATTGTAGGAATTCGTGGCGCGTAAGGGTCGCTTCTGTTTGTCTGATGATAGCCACGGCGTCGACCAGGTTGCTTTGAACTTCCGCCCAATGCTTGATTTTTTGGATCGCGCTGGTATCTCAATGCTGCATTATCTACAATTGGAAGCTTCGGTGTCATCTCCTGTGCCCGATGCTCGGTTCCCTAAGACACAAATTGTGGAGATTTCAGTAGAGGACGTGAGGAAGATGGCATTTTGGTCATGATTCTACGATCTATATGTATATTCAGGAGATTTTTCCTTGTACAGTATTCTCTGAGACTGCTACTATCATATCTACAACATATGTTGTAGGTCAATGTCAGAGAACAGCTCCGGGGTTACGATCGCGGGGATGTTTCCCCCGCCATTACCCCTCCGCGGGGTATTAAGAGAGCAAATAAGATGATTCCTTTCTCTATATCTAGGTAGTCCGAGGGAAAGGGCTGATTGGTCTGATCGTATGGTACATCATCGCATTGTAAGAGATACCAACCATTGCACCCATGTGGCATTCACGAAACCCACGAGTTTCCCCGTCCTACGCAGATCATATCCTTGTATATCGTAGACTGTTCCCCGGTGTTACTTTCATGCTATTTTCAGGTATTCCCGGCTGTTTCCAACTGTTCCTAAGCAAGTTAAACAACCCTATTACGAACACATCCCAGCTTCAAAGGATTTCTGGGAATATTCTACTCGTGAAACTCACCAGAAATAGTTGAGTAGATGGATGGGTAGACAGTCTATAATAAGAATGATAGCCAATAAAAATAACCAAAAAACAACAATCTCATTGCAACCTGGAAGACACTTGAAGTTCATTACGTCGTGTCCCGCCCAAGGAAAAAAGTGGATAATCTGCCCCTCCCGAGCTTCCCCCGTCTTCCTTTTTCCTTCTTTCTCTTCCCATCTCGCATATTCATCCTAGACACATCTTTCTATTACTTTCACAATGGGCGTTGAAAAGAAGACTCTGGTCGAGGGCAACGGTGTTGACTACCCTAAGAAGGGCGAGCACGTTGCCATTCACTACACCGGCTGCTTATATGACGCCGATAAGGCCGACAACCACTTCATGGGCAACGTGTAAGCCAAGTCACCATGCCACCTCGAGGTAACCGACGCGCGCTAATATGTCCTTGAATAGATTCGACAGCTCCCACAAGCCCGGCCGTGGTCCCCTTGCCACCCCCATCGGGGTCGGTCGTCTTATCCGCGGTGCGTCTCAATATATCCGGAGTCTTCTGTGAGACCAATAGCTTCTTTCAGTTCGCTAACTTGATAAATAGGCTGGGACGAGGGTGTTCCCCAGATGTCCCTCGGCGAGAAGGCCATCCTGACCATCAGCCCGTAAGTTGCCGTTTTGAACTTTCCTTTGCGCTTTTGCGCTGATTTACTGAACACATTGCTAATATTCGGCTCTCGACAGTGACTTCGGCTATGGCGACCGGTACGTACCAACCAAGGCCAATTCTGATCAATAATCTGTGGCCTATCCGATACTTCCAATGCCTCGCAACTCCAATTGCATCTTTGGCCTCTCCTGTGAATTTGTACTGATACCAAATCATTTTAGTGGCTTCCCCGGCCTGATCCCTGCCAACTCTCAGCTTGTCTTGTGAGTAACTCGCCTTTCTTTTCCCTTTTTCACACCATACTACCCAACTATAAAGGAATAAACTAACTATTGACAGCGAGGTCGAGCTCCTTAAGATTGGCACAAAGAGCGCTTAAATCAAAATCGCTATTCACGAATTTCCAGCCAGATATAAGATATGGAAATAACAAACGAGAAAGAAAGAACTTGAATCATTCCTTGTTGTGTCATACGGTTGACAGGCTACTTGGATAACAAAATCAAAGCCTGGTCTCGTTGCTGCCCATTGATTTGACTCGTTACCCGACGAAGAAAGTCAAATGGACTAGTACATGTCTGCATTCGTTTCCCGTGTTCATACACACACTGTAGATTCTCATAGCCTAGCTTGCCTCCACCTCCATATCACCGCGCGATACTATTGATATAATCCATCCCATCGACACGGTACGTGTCGGCCTCGATATAACTCTCATTTTGGGGTAAGCGGAAAACAAAATTCGTCGCGCGGGACGAATACTTGGGCCATTCAGCAACATCAGACACTATGACGCAGTCAGCTTCCAGGCAATACAATCAAGCCGCACGCATATTCTACTAACCACCATGTCCATTGGGATCTAGGTCTGCCACGAATGACGTCCACATCCGCGCTGCCGTCTGTGCCAGTTCCAAGCGCGCGGGGTCGGATCCTAGCGGTGTGATTGTCTGTACTGGGTTTGCAAAGACGAAAGGGATCTGTGTAGCCGGATACAAGCGTCAGTCCATCTTCCAGGTTAGAGGCTTAGGTGGTTTCCCAGACCAGGTGGGTTATACTTACCTCTGCGAAATGTTGCACCCCGATCGTTGTTGAGCTGTTCAACGCTGCCACGTCCCATCTGTATGAATACACATTGTCGCTGAAGGTTGCCATCCGTTGTGCTAACATGCGTCGTGGCGCTACCATGGTTATATCCCCGGCAATTGATGCATAGCGCTTATACATGAGTCCCAGCGAGGGCCAGGTGGTGTTACCCCAGCCATAGGGGCAGCCGATGGCGGGGATATCGGGGTAATAGGATAGCAGCTCGGTAGCCTGGGAACTGTTGAGGACCCAGCGCTTGGATGCTGCGGTACTCGCTTAGCACGATGTCATAATATGTGGCCGTAAACATGTTATGCACAGCACTTACTAGTCAATTCATTGATACAATCCTCATCGGTGTTTGTGCCCGTCGTCCCGAAACTGGTACCCTCGTCGGTATTTGTCCCTAATAAAATAGGCACTCGGGTCATTTTGCCTTCTTTGTAGCTGATTTGCGGATACTGGGCTATGAATGAGCCATCGACAGTAGCAAACCACTCTAGACCCTCGTTTGCATTGCTGTATAAGGCTGCGTAGGGCAGCTCGCGGAGACATTGTAGGGTATTCGTTGAATTGGTGCATCTGAGTTAGTATATCAGCTTCTGTTGATAGAAACTTGTTCAACATTGACTTACCCGGTTCTCTCGACGATTCGGTTGTACATTGGCTGGTGCCATTCTGTTCCGTTGTATGGGGGCCCCACGGCACTTCCAGAATCCAGGATTGCTAGTCGAGCTTAGTCTGGTGTAAGAGACAAATGGTAGGAGTGGGCTAACCAGCTCTAAAAAGACCCTCATTATCGCCATTGTTGGTCACCAGGTGGGCCCCGACACTATATGCACCACTGTTTATCCGAGAATAAGCATCTGGTATACCGAAAAATATAATTCCTGAGACTCACGCAGACTCGCCCCAGATAGTAATCTTGCTTGGATCACCACCGAATGCTTTGATATTCTTCTTCACCCAGCGCATAGCCGTGCGCTGGTCACGCAGTGCTAGATTGGTGTTTCCTTCGGCCTGGAGTCCAAGTTAGTATCGAGAATCCGCTGCATCCAGATCTGTATATAGTGGCATTACCCTGACTTCCTCCGAGTCAAGGAATCCGAATGCCGCCAGACGGTAGTTGATAGAAACACCCAGGACTGGCTTGCCGTTCAATACGCTCTGTTCAACGATATAACTCATATTATACCTGCAGACGGTATAGCATAAGGTTAACCATAACCATCCAGCATCCTTGCTGGGCATGAATACTCATACCTAGCTCTACATTTCTCGACCAACATACCTCGGATCAGCAGTAGCACCCTGTGACCACCCACCACCGAAAATCCAGATCATAACTGGAAGCAATCCATGACTCCCGTCGGTATTAGGTCGGATTATATTCAAGTTAAAACAGTCTTCATTCAAGGTGATAAGACCCTTGTTAACCATGCTGGTGGTATCAGATCCATAGCCAGGACAGTCGTAGCCGTACTCTGTAGCATTGTAGTACACCGACTTAGAAGTGGTGCCGAGTCCTTCTAGGGATTGATTATAGGGTCCAGAATTACTATCTTTGGATGCATAGTTGCTCTTGAGCTCGGCTGGTGTGAAGCGGATCGGCTCATCGGCATACTTGATGCCCAGGAAGAGATCCTGGTCGAACTCTGGAAGAGAGCGGCCTACAAAGATAGTCTTTGGGGTCTTGTTGCTTGTTGACAGGGTGGCTGTTGGGAGTTTCGCTCTGGTCCCTGTTGATTTGGATGAGAGAGGGTTGGCTGTTGCTCCGGAAATGAAGAGGAACAAGGTTGAAAGGAGTATCGAGGTTCTTGTCATCGACCACATCTTCGAAGTTCGAGGGGAGCTCCAACTGGACGGGCAAGAGTCAAAACGGCCAAGGTCGTTCTTATATAGTTCATTAGCTGCCAACTTGCCTACAAAGTAGACCCTCACATTCAAACCATGGAGAATTAAACATCCCCTTTCCCGGGAAATTGAATGACAATTTAAGTAACCCCACTATGAACAACTCGTCTATCATTGGGGATGAGCTGTGATCTTTGGCTCCTGGGCGCTCATAGGTGGGAAAATAAAGAAGAAAATCCGGGCCAAGAGTGGAGAGCGATTGGTCTTCCCAGTGTCAGCACTTGGCTATACTCCTATAGAAGTACCTAGGTAGTCTGAAGATTCCTTTAATACGGCAATATAAGACAAAAAGAAGCTCGACGCATATCACAGCAGAGCGAGTAGTCTATTTGGAAAATGTTGTTCTATATGGAGCATCAGGCTGAAGTCCCGGTGTAACATGGGGAAAAAGCGCCGCAGTAGCAATGAGAGCGTTGAAGATATTGTACATCGAACATGACAAATAGAAGAGATGAAAAGGGGAAATGCTACTGTTCAGTCCAAAGCAGCACAAATCCATCACGCAACAGCCTGGCCATTTGAGGCATTGGCCGAATATTCCATCGGGTCAATGAGCTGTATGCAAACGGTGAATAGCATCTGAAATTGACCCTGTCATATCCAGACTTCTCATGCATGCGACGCTCCAATGCCCAAATGGTGTGACCTGGGATTGGAAATGGCAACGCTAAAGTGGAAACAAAAACACCAAGACGCTCAGGGGAAAGAAAGTTGGATGAAGAAAAGAAATGCAAAAATCTTGAACTCCGAAGAATACACACACGCGGAGACTCTTATTATGTACGCTTGAAAACCCAAACACGTTAATCATCCTTGACCCGCTCGCCACAGGCAGAAGGACTGGAGCCCGAACCAAATCCAGTCGCACGAGACCTGCTCGCTGCTACCACCGAAGGGCTGTTGTATCTGTTAGATGAGGATGAGGATGAGGTGCCCTGTAACTCAGACCTCCGCGATGCACCCTTTAACGGGCTGGGGGAGTTCCGGCCATCCACCATCCCATCGTCAAGCTCAATTAGGTCATCCATCCGCCACATATTACGACCCCTGCTGCTACCCTGCGGCGTGGATGGTCCTTGCTGCAGCTCATTGATACCGGCCTTGGCGCGCGTCGCTACCTTTCGAACCCAACCCTCAAAAGCCCCGCCAATGTTCTCGAGGCCAGTCGATGCATTGGATGTGATACTGGATGCAGAGTCAAAAGAAGCTGTCCGGGAATTGTCCGGAGGTTGTGGCAGTGCAAGATTCGGTATGTGCTGTGCGAAGAATCGGGTGAACCCATCTAACGCAGGCCCTGGGCCAGTCGAGGTGGGGTCAAGTGTACCCACCCCCGTGCCAGACAGCTGGATACTACTGCGCTGGCGGCGATGCTGAAAACGACTGGGGTGTGTGGTCTTGGGCTTGGGATGATCGCCATTTGGTCGAGTTCGTGGCAGTATGCCAAAGGACAAAGGTGGAGCTGGCGATCGGGTAGGCGACGGAGGAGTGACTGTTTCTCGGTATAAGTCGGGAGGTTCTGCATCTGAATAAGATACAGATTTTCGACGCGTACGCGGAAAGAATCCCAATGCTCTTCGAGGAACACGGCCGATTTCCACTGGTCCGGGAACCCATCCATGTGAACCCACGATTCATGCTTCCAAGCATGGTTGCCATCCGCCTCAGACGCGGTTGCGGACGTATCCTGTTCAGTTGAAGTGTCGTCGGTAGAGGCAGCCGTGGGGGCTATCGAGCTATCGCTAGGGTCTTCATCGTTGTTGCTCAAAAGATCTACAGGCTTCTTGGGAACAGGCCGACCTTTCACAGAGCATGCGTCGACAGGTAGAAGAACAGTGTTTCTGCTCTGAATGTTGTCGTTGGGCCAGAAACCGTTCGCCTTTCGAAACACGGCAGCCTGGCAGCCATATTTGATCGTCACGCCGGTGATAGTGTCTGTGGGTTGCACTTTGTGGATATAGGCCAGAGCGTCTTCATCGTGCTCCGGCTCAGACGCTTGATATGAAATGTCGCCGGAGTCGCGTCTTTTGTGAGGGAGCGTACGGCTTGCGATCGGATCACTATCAGCGAGGAGCAAGGCTTCTCTCTTTTTGGCCTGTACTAGAGCCTGTCGCTCCTCCTTTGTCCCAGTTCCGAACTGCGGAGCGGCCGGTGCCGACGGACCCCACGTCGACCTGGGAGCACTCTTAATGTATACGTCAGACCGAGATGGCTTCCTTCGCGTGTGTGTCTTTGTCGCGTTACTCGGAGTGACTCGTCCAGCATCACTCCCTAGTACTGAAGATGCCAGGCTTTGGAGAGAGGACCACGAGGAGTCCAGAAAGTCCGCTGCACCCCCTGACGATGAGGCCTTTGATGGCCCACTCCAGGCAAACGATGTTGGCCCACTGCGAGTACCACGATTGATCGATTCGGTCGCGCGTGATGGGTGCCTCATTGGAAGTGGTGACGCTCCACGGGATGACAATGGCGAGGGGGTCGCTCCACGGGATCGAGTCATTCCACCCTCGGAGGGCGCAAGGGTCGTTGACAATCCCGAGGCAAATGGTTGGGCATCGTCCTGGTAGGAGTAATTTGTAGCATTATTGCTGTCGTCTTCGTCGTCCATGAATGAAACTAAGCGGCGAGGGCGAGGGCGGGATCGAACCGTAGAGGTTGAAGTTGTGCTTGCGCTGAGCGTGTTCGAGCTTGGGGAAGCATTGGCAAAGCTATTTTGAGAACTCATTCCTGTGAATCCAGCAAATGGGTCCAAGGATGCAAAATAAAAGCCCCCTTAGAAATGTGTACCGCCAAGGCACCAGTTGCCATCAGAGTTGATCTCAGGAGAGACCCATTCGTCATCCACCCCGGACTTGCATTCGTGGCCTTTTGACTGGGAGCACGGCAGGATACGTTTGATCATATATGGAGGTGTCCTTCCAAAATATAAAAGAGTCCCAACGGCACAGAACCTTTGAAAGGGTATGGAAAACAAGAGAGTGAGGTGAGGGAGGATAGGCGATAGGAGGCTAAGGAGGCTAAGGAGGCGTGACGATAACGACCCGCACTTTTTTGAACGCGGAGTAATTAGAAAGCAGGACAATTGTCCACAAAGAACTACAAGAATTAGGAGATTGGATTGTTTTCATTTGTCTGTACAGACGAATTACAGAGTACAAGGAACTAGAACGCTCAAGCTGCTGCAAATGCACCAAGTTTGTTCTGGGGCAGGTGACTTGGCCGCTCGGCAAAGTAGCGGTACATGATGTTTCCCGGTCAAGGCCACCTATTCTGTGTACCTGGTACTTTGTCGGCCCCGAGGATAATCTACTGTACCTTCTCCGCACATGTATAAAATTAGATCAGATAGAACAATAAGAACAATAAGAACACAATTAAAGAGCAAGATTTGTATTAGATCGTTGTATCTGAACCCATTGTACATATGACGTAGAAATTCTATCAACAAGCCGGCCATACTAGAAGCCATTCACTGGTTCAGAGTCCGGCATTTCCAGTAGATTACGCCAAGTCTTCGCGCTGCGGGACAAGGTGAGAATAAATATCAACAAGGCGACCAAAAGTGCCTCAAATTTACTCTGGCGGCTCAGCCATCACAGAGTGTTGAGTCTCAGCTTCCGATGTGGCTTCAGACGCAGTACTCCAGTCTCCATCTTCCTTCTCGGAGACTTTGCCGGTTGGGGTGGACAATGGAGCTGGCTGGGGAATGACCTTGATACCACCGGCGCGAGAGAAGAAATCTTCCGTACGAAGACCTCGAACTTCTTGGGGATCCACTGCATCCATTTGCATCCCGCTGGCCTTTCTTGCCCGAATAAGCTCCCGCACGGGAACCATCGCTGCGTCTCGGCATGCTTCCTTGATATCGCTACCAGACATACCGGCCATAGTCTTAACCAGATAGTGCAGATCGAAATTGTCGCGATCAACTTTCGTGTCTTTGAGAATCAGGCTGAGAATACGAAGGCGCTGGGCAACCGGAGGAAGGGTCACGGGGAACTTCTTGGGCATTCTTCGAAGAATGGCCTCATCAATGTCTTGAATGCGGTTGGTCGCCCCTAGAACAACAATCCGCTGGGGCTCTCCTGTCGAATTTGCCGATGTAAGACCATCCCAATGAGTCATGAACTCTGCCTTCACCATACCACTTGCCTCATGTTCACCACTTCGTCGGGTTCCAAGAACAGCATCAATCTCATCAATGAAAACGATGGCAGGTTGTAACTTGCGCGCAAGCGAGAATACTGCATTGACCAATTTATTAGAGTCGCCGTACCACTTCTCTGTCAACGTGGAGATGTGCAGATTGATGAAGCATGCTCCACTCTCTGATGCTAAAGCTTTGGCAAGCATGGTCTTTCCGCAGCCAGGCGGACCGTATAAGAGGACCCCAGAGGGCGCGGTCAACAAAGACGACGTGGAAGCGTAGAGATGAGGCATGGTCAGTGGGTAAATGACCGATTCCTTCAACTCCTCGATGATTTCATCAAGTCCTCCGATATCTTCAAATGATACTGGGATATCCTCTGGCGCAACAACATCCATCGCGATGGCTTGTTCGTATTGGTTCAAGGTGAGCTCTCTCTTTCGTTGCCCTTTCTCACGCTTGCCACCTTTTCGCGGAGCCTCATCATCCGATTCGTTCCCGCCTTCCAATCGACGTATGATAGCAGCAGACTTCTGTCGTTGTTCCTCCTTCTTCTGGCTCTCCGGGTCGAAATCAAGGCGTGATAGAAGGTAACGAATAAGGAAATACGCGGACGCAGACTATAGTAGTGTTAGAAGCATTCTGTATTATCTGAAACAGGAAGTTTCTCACAGTGCCTGCAACCATCACCATTTCTTGGAAGAACTGCTGCCATCTTCGGCCGGCTGAAGCCATGGCGATAAGGGAATGATTAGGTAGAGTGAGGTGATGGCGCAAATAAGAAAAACCCCTAAGCGAAAGCGAAAAATAAGGATAAATAAAGGTAAGTTTGAAGTCCACTAGGATTAAAACAAGACAGCCGAGTCGCCGAAGATCATTCGGGCAGCTTGTGGCGCGGGACTCGGGGGGATGCAAAATCACATGTCGTAAGGCGGAGAAGGCGGTTGTTGGGGGTGTTGTTGTCGGCGCGCGTCCCGCGAGTATGCAATTGTCATCAAACAGTTATACTTAGGTATACCTGCACAATGCCCAAACGGAAAGTTCCTCCCAAACTATCTGGTCTACTAGGCTCAGATGATGAGGACATCATGCAGGTTGAAGCGACAGAAACACAGGAAACTCACGAGCCTCCTGCCAAAAAAAGAAGAGGCCGACCGCGTACCTCAGATGAGAATGTGACTGAGACCCAACCTATCGGACCTACCAGACCTGCTACTCGAACAAGAAAGCAGCAAGCAGCTGTATCTGTGACTGAGCCGGAACCCCCCTGCAAACAAGAGGCCCGCCCGCCGAGGACGACCCAGAGGAAGCAGCCGTGCAGCGCAAGACACTGAAACGCCTTTGCAGGAAACCGAGACGGAAGCTATGGTACCAGAACAGGAAGATACAGACAACCAGGAGAATGAAAAACCACTTGCCTCAAGGAATACAAAGAAGCAGCCGCCCAAGGCTGCAAAGGCTGCCCCAGCACGCAGTCGAGGACGACCTCGTGCGGTCAGCATACAGCTCCAAACAGATGGTGAATTTGAGTTTACCCCGAGCGGTTCTCAACACGTTAGTTTTCAGGAAACTCATACGGAGCAAGCCGACCTGAGCCCTCTTGCTCGTGCAGCGAGCCGGGGAAGAAAGGAACCCGAAGTCGAAGATTCTCAACAGAACGAGCAACCCGCAGCGGAGCTCGTAGATGAGACTATTATTCGCGATGGATCAGCCTATAACCGCAAATCGATGTCCCCCGTGAAGAACGCTCGCTCCCGGTTATCCATGTTACGCAACCCACAGGAGTCTTCTCCTCGTAAACGCAAGCTTGGAGGCACCGACTCCGAGCAGGGCGGAGACCCAGAGCTGAGGCGCAGGCTGGGTGAACTGACCAAGAAGCACGATGCCTTGGAGAATAAATACCGTAACCTACGGGAGATTGGGATTGTCGAAGCCAATACCAACATGGAGAAACTGCGAAAGCACAGTGAGACTGTTACTAAAGGTATGCTCTTCTGTTGTCTTATAGCCACAAGGGCAGGTCAATTGATACTTCCTCAGCATCGAATGAATTGGTCGCTTCGCTCAAGGCCGAACTGGATGCTCAGCGAAAGCTAGGACTGCAAAGCCGTGGGCTCCAGAAGCAACTCAAAGACCGTGATGATGAATTGGCTCGACTCAAATCTGGCGCCGATGAGGCCCAAGCACAGCTTGCGTCTGCCCAGTCTGAAGTCAAAGCTTTACAGACCAAGCTCGCTGCGGCGCGGAACACAGCTGCGAGTCTCGAGGGGGCTGCAAAGGTCCCTGGCAGTGTCATCAAGGGTGGTGCGGCCAACCGTGCTAACGCAGCTGCAACTGCCGAAGCGGCACAGGCTTCCCAGCTCGCCCAACTAAAAGAAGATCTATACAGCGATTTGACAGGATTGATCGTTCGCGACGTCAAGAACAGAGAGTTAGATTACCTATACGATTGTATCCAGACTGGAATCAACGGAAGTAAGTTGCTCCATTTCCAAGTAATTCATGGCATTCTTCTAACCTCCTTGCAGCTCTTCACTTCCATCTTGTTGTACCAAAGGCCTCGGCTGATTACGACAAAACTGAATTTCAATACCTGCCTCATTTAGACCCCAACCGCGATCGCGACCTGGTCAACTTGCTACCGGACTTTTTGACCGTGGACATCACCTTCGTCCGCGGACAAGCGGCCAAGTTTTATACGCGAGTCATTGATGCCCTCACAAAGCGGCGGTCTCTTCCAGCGCAATAGCAGTACTGATACTTATATCGGTCTTCGGTGTCTTTTAGGGGTCTGTTCATTTTTAGGGAGTTTGTTCGGGACTGGGAATGTCATGTTGCCCCAATCGTCAATCACATCAATTTCAACAAGTCCACCTTCCGAGCTTACAAAACTCTTGCCCCCTTATGTCTACTTTGTACGTAGTGGTAAACGTCTCAGCGGGCCCTTCGCTCAGTGAAACACGCTTCGCGAGGTCCTCAACAACAAATCAATTGCAAGGCACCACAAGTTCTCGCCTCGCTGCCATTCATTTTCTCCAGAGTATTGATCCATAGACCATTGCCTTGACGCTCGGCTTTGAATTGGCATGCTACCTGGCGAGATATTATCTTCTTACTATATCCCCTTTTTATCTCCAAGCCACATCAAAGGAGGTAGAAACCCCCTACTGTATAACGACCACATGTCTTTCTACCTCACTGTAATCCAATAGATTTCAAGTCAAGGTGCATTTTTCTGACTCTCTGAAGATAGTGCAGAGCTTCGACTGGGAAATAAATGCCAAAGGATAACCTGGAAAGTTGCAAGTAGAGTAAACAAAGAGAGATCTGTGATTGGCTCTCACCGCCAAGTTCCTCAATGCGTCTCAGAAGGTTGACGGGTTGACGTGTTGTGACCTTCGTGTCTCCTTTTTTTGGTGAATTTCCCTACCTTTCTTTGTGGCAGTGGACCACTTCCACTCTTTTAACACTTGAATTTCTACGAGACATAGATCATGGCGCGTCTCGGCCGCGTTGGGTTTCTTGCCCTCGCAGTGGTCTTCCACTTGATCTATACATACTCGATCTTTGACATCTAC